AGTGCCGTAAGTGGTTTGAACTTTGTTACCAAAGTAACCCTGCACAGTTGGTTCATAAAGGCAAGACATGGAGACAAACAGAGGACATAAACACGGCCCACATGGGATGATTCATCAGGGAACAGAGAAAAGGAGGCAGTGTGCACACATAGCCTTTACTCTGGAAGGAAAATAGGCTGAATTTATCCTGAGCTAAGATTCAATTTAATTTATTTCAGTTTATGTATATTGCATCAATTCACAACTCATGTCATCTCAAGGCACTTTACAGTTCACCAGATCATCCAGTCAAATTAATTCAAAGTTTTCTATCTAAGGAAAACCAGTAGATTGCATTGACTCATTGACTCAGATGCAATCCCTCACACTAAGCATGCTTGTATAGACAGTGGAAAGAAAAAACTCCCTTTTAACAGGAAGAAACCTCCAGCAGATCACATCTATTCCTGCTGTTAATCTGTATGGAGAAAATGGGCACAGAGAGTGTGTGAAGCACTTTCGACATTAAGGGATGAACTGCAGTAATCTGGCTACCCTGTAATTACAGCAATATGGACTTTCTAATTGTCTCAGAAATATATGACCATTATCTAACAATAAATAAGCAAAACTTTACTACTCTTTTCCTCCTGCCAAAGAATCAAGTGTGTGTGTGTGTATGTGATATTTAAATACATTCATCCAACATTATCTGACACGCTTATCCCGAGTGCGGATGCAAGATATTTAAATACAATTATATTTAAATACAATAATCTGTCTTCAACATGGCTGTGCCATATGGTCAAGAACAGGACAGATGGAGCGAGTATTCAAGGTGAGACAGACAGTGGGTAGGTTCAAAACGGATCTGCCGACCGCAGCGGCTGCAGGGCAGGGCACCGCCCAATCACTGACTCTCTGGAGGGAGAAAGACAGGACAGTGACCATGATCATCTGACGGGGGATGATTATCTGTGTGAGTCACTTACCTGGTTTAATAGTTCAGTTCATCCTCTCCGAGGAAGGCAGGATCCAGCAGATGGATAGCCAAATGAGTTGCGGCGCAGAGCCGCCCAAAGTGTCCCCATTGCAGCAACCTCAGTGAGCAGGCAGGAATCCGATCCAGGTCAGGGAAAACAGATCAGACAGGAAAGTTCTGGAATCCAGGAGTCGGCGGCCCGGCCAGGGGCCCCGATTCACACAGGTACAGAAAGATCCAGGGTTACAGGAATCCACAGAGCATGAAGGCAGGTACAGAGTTACATGAGTCGAGCAATGAGCTCAGACAGAAATGCACAGATGCAGACAGGCAGGCTCAGTGGTTGAGGGACAGAGACAAGACATGGTACCAGGATAACTGCGAAGCTTTAAACTGGTCTCCACCTAGAAGCCAGGGGACTTTAAACTAGCTTCCCCTTTGCCGAGCCAAAACAGGAACAGATAGTGCTCAGAGGGAAAAAGCCAGGAGACGATCAGGAGACAACAAGACAAACACGAACCGTGGAATAACAAAAACTAGCGAAACAAACATCAAAACAATGATCTGGCCCCGATAGCTGGGCTGAGCTGAATATAAAGCAATAGACACAGGTGGATAACATGGGGAATGATTAGGAACTGGGCAGAGTTAAGCAGGTAAATTAGGTAAACAATTAAGGTCACTAACAGGGCAGATCATGACACATATTGCCACAATACTGTTTGCTAATATTAACTGCAGTCAAAAGAAAAAACATAAAGCTTAAACTTTCAACTAAGTATAATATTTAAAAGCGTATTTACTGTAAACATTTCATTAGGTCAAAGACTCTGTCTGCCAGAACCAATTTCTGGTTTATAAATGTCTGTTTCTGCTTTCTGAATGCCTGACTTCAGCACTTTCTGGAAACTTCCCAGGTTTGAAACCAGATGGCTGCTTATTCACAGCATAACAAATAGGCAGGCTATAAAGTGACTGAACTGTTTCTGGAAAAGCAAATGCCATCATCATCTCTTAATCATAGAGTAAATATTGGCTCTTTTGGGGTGAATAACAAACTTGCCTTCTTGTGAGACATGTTTCAAGAGCTTATAGTCATATCAGTTAGTAATATATTTTATACACTTAGAATAATTTATTTAATTTACATTTAGAGGACAATGTGTAAAGTACATTTCCCTGTACTTGGCTGGACTCTCCTGTAAAACGTCTTTTTTATACTAAATTAAGATCCTTTATCTAAAAAGACAACTGGAGTACAGACAGACGGAGATGTTGAGCAATAATACTAAAACAGGCTGTGGCTCGCTAACAATACTCAGTTGGTACCAATGGTTCCAAAGTGAGCCAAGAAAGATTACCTTGCAACCCTAACAGCCTAATCTGTTGATAGAATAGATGGATCAGATCGGCTGTTCTAGACTCAGAAGAGCCCCTCTTACACCAACAGAGCTGCCAAGTTTTACATCTCCTTTTTGAAGCCATTTTGATGCCCTCAATGAACTTCAGCAAGTCATCTTGATCACATCTAGTTGCATAATTGCATTGAGTTGCTGCTATATGAGAAGCAGATTCCCTATTTTTGAGCATAATGAATTAGACAGGCGCATTCAAAAAGAAGCCTTTGAGTATATGTGATAAAGCTTCATTTGATAGTTGTGTTTAAATGGGAAATAGCTCTAGGGAGGATTGAAGATTAATGTCTTATGTGGAACTTCAGAATGTGGGGCCTTTTTCATTTAGGAAGCATTTCTCTATTTCTATATCTTTTGACATCTGCTGTCACTTCTTCCAAAATGTATGTCAAATTCATTTGGTTTGCAATTATGCAATAATGCATATTCTTACTTCATTACATGATAAAAAGGACGAAAATGATAACAAATGTTACGCTAGTCTCAATTTAAACATAAAACTACATATTAACCATGTATTGCAATGCATATGCTTTGAATGATCTCAGTGCATGGCTGCAAAATGCATCTAAACTTGTCTTGCTTGTCCCCATTTTGTTTAAAGGAAGGTTTTTGCACCCGCTCAATCTCTAAACCCGCTTCAATCTTTTTAACACACTGGAAAAAATGTAAATCTAGATAAGTAATTTTTTTATTAAAACAAGTGTATTTTTTTTTCTTGGATTAAGTGCATTTTATCTAAATATCTTATTTTAAGAGTAAAAATTCTAATTCCATTCAAACTCATTTACCTACTCAAATTAAGGGTAAATACCCTTAATTTAAGACATTTTTACTTATTTCTAGATCATTTTTTTAGTGCAGATGAAAAGTTGAAAGCAGTAAAATAAATATTTCAGTGAGATAAACTACAATCTATTTTAAATCCTTACATCTACCATCTTTACATAGTGATTATATTTAGTTTAGTTATTAATTCTTTGCGATAGTTTTCAACATGCTGTCACTAATTAAAGAAATAAAAACTCTCATACTGGATAAATTATTCCTGTGATTCCCAAAAATTGTTAATTTCAGATCTGCAAAATAGTACCAGAATGCTGTCATGACCCAAACTATTGGTTGGAATAGAAAAAAGAGGAACATTTAGCAATAGCCTCAAAGGGGATAAAAATCAATGTATTTGGTTTTGTGTTTTTTTTTTCTTTACATAAATTTCAGCATTATATTGAGGTAATGTGTAAAGCTGTGTAATATATTTTTTTTGCCATTTTTCAGACAAAAGAGTAGAAGTTCAGTTTAATTTAATAGAGGTCTCTCAAGAAATGATCCATGACCCCAATTAGGGTCACAACCCCAACTTCTTGAATCAATAATTTATTCCGCTGTTTTCCACCACTTTCTCTGCAGTTACACTGCGCCATCCATATGGGGAATCATTGCACTAAGGAATCGGCCAGTATAGGCACACATTGGCCGATTCATTAATGAGCCAATATGGGCCAAAACTATTAGCTGGCCGATGCATCGTTGTGTCTAATATGAAGAGATTTGGATCTGCACTCAAACCTAGATTCAAATTTTTGATCTTGGGAAAAAATATATATCTGGAACAAGTACAAATGTGACACTCCAAACTGAAATCAACATAAATTTTAGATAGAAAGAGATGCAGACATCTCCTCTGATATTTATGTAAGCTTGCAAGCCCACTAAATTAGAATATCTTGCAAAAGGCATTAAGGTGACAACATGCATCCATATTTCAGCACAAAAGAATGTGTCCCTATTGCCTAGCAGCACCAAGATTGCCTGGATAAAAAATTTATACTTAACATGGGCGCTGTGTCCTCCAAATGCATGAGTGTCCTTTTGGCAACTTAAAGCTTTCTGGCAACAAGGAGAATGTAGTAGGCTACTACAGCAGCAGTGATAACAGTCAGCCATCTGTGGGGGCTTGATTCTTTAGTTTTTGTTTTATTTTCCAGCTTGTTCATATCTATGATGTCATTTCTTCAACACTTACGGATAACAAATGGAAAATAAATATGTGTTCAACATATTATGCTTTGGTTCTTTTCTTGAATTATTTTTGGAAAGTATCTGCAAATCAGTATGAGATGGAAGAGTATTAATATGTTGGACTGAAAAACTGAATTATGTATGAGAAAGGCCTTTGTGTTGCCCGGTTATATTAATCTCTTTAGGAACCTGTAAGTATTCTCTTTCAGGCAATCTTTAAATTGATGTAGAAAGGAAGGCTGTAACACTGCGGTTTTTCTACGGTGCAAACAATGTACAACATTTTTTTTTTCTTAAAATAAATGATCTTTTTTCTTGATTTGAAGAGGTAAATGAGACACCTTGTGATTGGATGAAGACAAAGAAAAAAATAGTTGCTTTGTCTTATTTCAAGTGCATGTTATCTAGTTATCTTGTTTTAAGTGTAAAAATTCATTATATTGGAAAATCATCTTATTTACCTACACAAATTAAAGGTAAATACTCATAATATAAGATATTTTTTACAAATTTCTTGATAGTTTTTGCAGACTAATGGTAAGATTGCTGTATTTTTTTTATGCTTCCGTTTCTAACGTTCTTTACCTTTGACCGCCCCTCAGCTTCAGAGGAAGAGGCACATAGGCAACGACATTGTGGCAATCGTGTTCCAGGAAGAAAACACTCCCTTTGTACCAGACATGATCCAATCCAACTTCCTGCATGCCTACGTGGTGGTGCAGGTGGAGAATGCATGCACCGACAACGTCACATACAAGGTTGGTTCCTCTTATTGACGTTTCAAAGAACTTTGATCTGTATCTGGTTAAGAAGTTTTACCTAAAATTTCAGGCCCTAAAGTCACTAATGATATCACTACCACAATGATGTTTGACTTTCTTTACAATATTCAGTTTCTGAAACTCCCCTCTAGCTTCACACCTGATAAAAACAAACCTCACACCATCAAAAAATTCAAATTTAGTGTATTCAATCTATAGAAGGTTATCCCAGAGTTTTTTTGGAACTGTATGGATGTTTTTGTTAAATGTGAGACATAAATATGTGGGGGAGGTTTATGCAGCAAAGGGAACTCAAAATGAAGCAGCTGTTACCTTCAATGTTTTAGATGTTTTTATGGGATTCTCTCTTAAATGAGTCTTGGGAAGTGGTGTTAGTAGAGGCGAATATTATCTCCTTTGTGGATAATATCACACACTGTGGTTCACTGGAGTCCTTAAGCCGTAGAAATGGCATTGTAACCCTCCCTGGACTCATATTTTTGTTTGTTTTGAGACTGGTTCTATTTTTCGGTACTTTATGATTGTCAGGCAGTAAGCAGGCCTGGGTGTAGCTGTGAACCATTGAAACTATATGTTGCATTAGTTCAAAAATACATTTGATATGAGATATTTACGTGTGAAAAAATTTTTTATCTCAGGGTAAAAAAAACTTTTTCATAAAACAGTGTTTGCCTATTTTAGTATGTTATGAAACTATACAGCTAGCTTGCAGAGGAAACGCGCATACAGTGCTTTTTTATTCTAGCATGCGGGGATAAAACAGAATAGAGGACAATAGAAGAGTTGGAGGAAAGTGTGACATTTTATTTTCCAATATGCTTTTCTGGCATCTTTTGCAAACAGAATGGTGTGTCTGGTATCCAGAGCTGAAGAATAGGATTCTTGATTTAAGCCCAAATGGTTTCTGTTTGCTATTTCTTCTAGGTGTCAGTCACAGCAAGGGATGATGTACCTTTCTTTGGACCTGCTCTACCTGACCCTGCAATCTTCAAAAAGGTCACTAAGCAAAAAGAAAAACATGTTTCCCTAGAGATACACCATACGTCCTTCCCCACTCTTCTCCAAATGTTGTTTTTTCTTTTCCTCAGGGCCCAGAGTTTCACGAGTTCCTCTTCACCAAGCTGATCAATGCAGAGTATGCCTGCTACAAGGCTGAGAAGTTTGCAAAGCTGGTGGTGAAAAGCACAATAAAGGAAACCTTGTGTCTTTGTATTTTGATTTATTATGTTTTTATGCATGTTGTTATGATCTTGTGTCCAACTGTTTGCATCTATCTGCATCCTACTGGCTTCATAAAAGTGAATTTTAAGATGCGCTGTCACTAAAACATTTGGTTTATTTGTTGCCAGGAGCGTACACGTTCAGCCCTGCTGGAAACATTATATGAAGAGCTGCACATCAACAGTCAGTCCATGATGGGTCTGGGTGGGGAGGAAGATAAGCTGGAGAACGGAGGTGGTGGAGGAGGGGGCGGCTTCTTCGAGTCATTTAAGGTACATCATTATTTTCAAATTGATTGGGCGCACTGGTGATCTGCAAAACTGCACAAGCATGAGCAAGAATGGCGATGAGTGGAAAAACTTTTCGGATGTTTTCTTTTCTTTTTGTCCTCTCCTGTCTCTTGGCTGGGATTCTGGGTATTCACACATGAGAAAACAAAGCGTAGAAAATGTGCAGGATCTCAGAGGACCAGTCTATGCCATTTGCTGTCCTCACTTGGCTGTTAGTGCTGAACGCAGTGGGTTTTCACTTGGCGTAGTGATTTTTGGAATCTGCAAAGTGTCCCCTTGTGTATGCAAGACACTTCTCTACGTCCGAGAGTCCTCCATCACTGACCGCGGTGAAGCGGCGTCCGGCTGCTGAGGCATGGCAGCAGGAATTGTGAAAGTCTGTGGCTGATGAACGATTTAATGACCCTTCATTATGCAGCTTATGATGCAATTTGCACACCTCCCCTTGGGTAGCGTCCCATTAAGGTTTTTCTTTCCTCAATCCTTTTTCTTCTACCTCAGTCTCAGATGCTCTCAGTATTTCTGTAAGCCAGTTTTTTTTTTCTTTAATACCTTTAAATCAAAGTTGTCAGGTGCTCTGTCTCTTTATTTATCTTCCCAACATCTGCAATTTTAAATCTGTAAAGATTTTCCAATCTTTAACTCTAGAGCTGGGTAGGTTGCACTGTCCTGCTACCTTTTAATTTCTGGAGTCCTTGTCGTTCATCTCTCTCTATCTGTTTAAGTAACATACCTTTAATTCACCCTCTTCCTGTTACCTGAACTGCCACTAAGAAGCACCACAAACACACACACACACACACACACACCCCATACACACACACACACAAATACCTGTCTGTGCACACTCCCATGTTTCTATAAATCACTTATTACTTTTCCTTCATCACTTTTACTTCATAACATTTATTTTTAATCCCATTTGACAATAGATCTAATAGACTGCACTGTATTAATAATAGAAAGCAACTGACATGAATTAAATATAGTTTTCGCCTAAAGCGCCAGTAAAATAAAAAGGTTATAGATTTTAGACACGTGAAACCTTGAAATATGATATTCTCTAACAGCAAAAGTCTCACACCGAATGTTTTATAGATTGCATTTTATTCATTGTAATGTTTTCTGATGGGTTTAGGTCTGTTTTATCCACTGAGTAACGGTTTTCTGACACATTTTCATTGTTCTAATGGTCTTTGGTCAAGAAATTAGCTTACAGCTTTAGACTTTATGCACAGGAACTTTCCAGTTTAAGTCTCAGAAGTTTTTAGCCCGCTCCTTGTGGTTTTGGAGATTGAACAGTAAAGGCGATACCTGATGTGCTAGCTAAACAGCTTGGTTTGCAGCTTTATAGACGGCTGTATGTGAACCCAGGAAAACACCAGCTTATCCAACTCCAGTTTTTGCTTTTTGTTTTATTTTAAATTGCTCTAATTAAAAGATAAAGGCACAATCAACACAGTCGACATTTTTTTTTAGTTATTTCCTGACAAAGAAGATTAGAACACATCTGCTTTTCTTAAACCGCTTTGTCCCGTGTCATTCCCATTATGGTAATTGTCTAAGAGAAATTTCGCACAGTGTTACATCCTATTTACACCCCAGAAAAACAGGAAATCCTCAATTTCACAAAATAAGCCCAGAGACAAACTGATCATTATGTGTTTGATTTAAAGGTTGGATTTTGCTCATTTTTCCAGCATCAGCCTATTCTACAGCATAAAAAGATTAACCTTTTACACATCTTATTAAAGGACACCTACAGCTGGTCAGGGCTCTGTATGCTAAGTTAAATTAAAGCATAGTGTGAAGCAAACCCCCTTCTTTTTCTTGCAAACATTAGTCAGTGTGTTTGGTTTCCACGGGATAGAAGTGGATCCGCTGACTGTGGATATCTCCTCGTTCTCTCTGCAGCGGGTCATCCGCAGCAGAAGCCAGTCTATGGACGCCATGGGTCTCAGTAACAAGAAGTCACACACAGTCTCCACTAGTCACAGTGGGAGCTTTACCCACAATCCCGCAGAGAGCCCCAAAACCCCAGGGATTGTAAGTAGCCCATTTTGGTTGACACGTTGCCCATCTGTACACACGCAGCACATTCAGGACGCTGTGTTTTCACAGCACGGTGGATAATAAACACACGTGTGGATGATTTAAACCTAAACAGCAGCCTGATAAAATACTTCTACTGCCACTTCATAGCACTCCATCTGTGTGCTGTTAACACCAAAGCACTTACTCTTATTTCTGACATTTCATACTCACTCTTGCTGTGTACTCATTTTTCACTAATTGACTCTTTCCATTTTATGTTCACGTTAATCCTCTTTTCTGTTTTTTGGGGCGGAAAAAACATTTAAGCATTTTATTCATTGCCGTCTATTAGAAGTGTTGTTGCTGTGTAGATTGGCAGGCTTTTAGCTGCTGAAAATCTGCCTATTTTGAAATGAAGTAGTGATTGTTTTTGAACCCTCTCTCAGGCTTTGAAGTGAGCTCAGACTAGTACCTGTATGACTACCCAGACTCCCTCCCTCGTTGCTATGCTTTCATAATGAGTGTATCCCTATTATAACTCTTACCGTAATGCTGCTTTGTGGATGTGTGGCTGGAGAACATGCATGCCACAACCCATAAACCTCAAGAGCACTCTGCCTTGTTTTGTTTTTTTCCTTTACCCATTTAAAAAAGGCTTTTGTTATAACAGTACCTGTTTATTTTTTAACCCTCTTTTTCTCATATTTTCCTTTTAATGCATCAGTAACTTGTATCCTTCAGGACAGTACCTGCCAGTATGTCTGCTCTGTTGATGCTCCTGCTCTACCCTCCTATATGACCTCAAGCTTCCTAAACCCTGTGAAGCTTTTTCCTATTTCCTCTATCTCATGTTTGCTTTTGATTCATGCTACAAGCTCCTTTTAAAGCTGTTTTCCTTCCTACTGTTACAATTCTTTCTGTTCTGTGCATGAGAATTTCTGATGTTTTTTTCCTTCCCTCTCTTGCTTCTTCCATCTTTTATCTTCCTTTCTTTCTCTTTCTCTCTCTCTTTCTCCGGCTCCCTTTGTCCCGCCTTGTGTGGCTCAGTCATTGCTTGTCGCGGGGAAAAGTCCCAGTAAATATGGACGCCGAGGCAGTGCCATAGGCATAGGAACAATAGAAGAGGTTAATGTATATTCTCTCTTATTGCTCATCACATTTGTTTGCTTTTCTGATGTGTTTTCTTAAAGGAACAATTAGCTATTTCCATTCTAATTGAAATAGAACAAATGTTTTAGTAGATCTTGCAGTGTATGGGGGGGGGGTCTGTTGTTTTTAGAAGAAGTGAGTTGCAAAGACATAGTGTTCAGTGGTTGTTCTGATCATAATTTCATTTTTATCATTCATTCGTACAGAAAGTCACCACTGTGTTGTGCTCTGTGAGTTACTTGATTTTGCTGTTTGATGAATAAGTGATAAGCATGAATCCCCTGAAACTTGCAGCTTTTTTTCTTAACTCTAATGGGAGGAAAATAAACATCTGGTTGGGGTCATCGATATGTTTTTTGTGCTTTTAAATACATGTTAACTCTCGGAATTAACCGCAAAAGAGATAAATCACCTCAAACCTTTGAGAACACTCATCTGGCTCCTATATAAAACACACACACACACTTGTGCACACTTGTATCTACAGTAGTTTGAGAAAAACAAGTAAAATAAGCAATTTCTAACTTTTACTGCTTTGTCTGTGACATAGTGTATCCTGTACAGCCCCCCCCATAAAAAAATAAGCAAGCGGAAAAATATAAATGGTTGCATAACCGGGTTCTGTGAGGCTGCACACTTTCTTTGTTGAAATACCTTTTGATTCACTTTCAGCATCCTCTCTTTTATAACTTGCCTCTCCTAACAATATTAGCAAATCTCAATTACCTGATGTTAGGTTAAAAAATGTAGGTTCGTAAAAGAGGAACTGAGTCCACACAGGAAAGAGATTTTCAGCAGCTCCTGCAGGAGGGGAGAGAGCCACAACCCAACTCTTTAACTCTCTCACGGAGTGAGAATTGCGAAAAGAAGCCTTAATGTTAAAAAAATGTTGACATTAATCTCACCAGAGTATAGTTATGATCTGAAGTTAATAAGATGGGTCACACTTCAATCAGAATATTTTTGCATAGAAAAAGCACAAATAATCACATAAAGAGCAGAACACACACGAGTTAAACATGATGCGGGCATATTGCTCTGTTCCTACTTTCCTCTTTAGATGGAAAATAGTTTCTTGTCATATTGAATGAAGTTATGAACGGCTCCAGATACAGTCCGTCTGTCAACCACAGCCTTCATGTGTCTGCTTGAAAGCTGAATATGAAGAGTCTTTATCTTTTTTAATCATCATAGTGACTCCAAGTGTGTTATCCATTAAGTTCATTATTCAGGATTGTAAATTTTGAAATTACCAATCCAGACTCCAGAATTACTACAACAAACAGAAAATGAGATGAAGGATGCTATGGAGAAGTGATCTCTGCACAATCTGGTGAGATCTGTTGACCTTTAGCAAGGAAATATTATAAAATCAAGATGGAGGATGCTTTAAGGCTGCTATCAAAGAAGGCTGAATGTGGAAATGTAATCAAAAGTTTTATTGACTGAAATTAGTAATAGTGTGCCCACTTATGCAACCGTTTATTTCTCAAAACAGATTTTTTTGTATTGCAATTAAACGGTTTAGATTATTTAGTTTGTATTTAATGTTTAATTTTCTGATAAATAAGTTATCTTGATTGGGCTGCATTGGACAGAGTAGTTTGAAATTCAAGGTTTATCTACTGTTTTTATTTTAAACTCACATTGTCTGAGCATTTATGTAACAGTCAGTCCGTGAATTGCTATTTCATATTTCTACATGATACTGCATCTAATACATACTGTACAGTGTGATGAACGCTGTGCACCAATGTCTTCTCCCAAAATGTGTGCCTTACTTTTTTGTCTCACTTGCACCCCGATAGTCATTGATCATTCCTGGGAAAAGCCCAACCAGAAAAAAGTCTGGACCCTTTAGCTCCCGCCGCAGCAGCGCCATTGGCATCGAGAACATCCAGGAGGTCCAAGAGAGGAGGTGAGAGGACAGCAGGGAGTGGGTAGTGAGCACAGAACAGTGTTGTGACAGATGGAAGGAAGGACATTAAAACAGATTAATTAATCTCTCAGAGGATGCAACGTGTCAGATCAAATGTTTTTACTGGATGACTTTCATGATTTGTAGTACCTTACAGAAATAGTCATTTAATTAAACTTTATGCTTGACAGCATCATACTTAATTATTTTGAGATGCAAGACAATGATGCATGGCTTATAATTTTTAAGGAATAAAAATCTAAAAAGTGTGGAGTGCATTTGTATTCAGTCCCTAGGACTCTAAACTTTTATGATCACGCTTTTACTAAAAGTAAAACTCCAAATCCTTAGCACCATGTTTGTAAAGAGCAAAAACAATACCTATTTAGGTCAAAAGTTTAGTCCAACAAGAGCTGTGAACCTCTAGAGCAGAGGTCTTCAACAGGGGGTCCGTGACCCCTAGGGGGTCCGCGGAGGTACTGCATGGGGGTCGCGAAACTTTTGGTTGATTCATTTTTTTTTTGTATATATTCCCTCCTGAATTTAAATGTCTTTAAATCCACATTAACATGAATTCAACACACTGTAGTAAACAGATAAAAGGAGGCAAAAGATGTCTTTTAGTCATCAATGCACACATTCAGCAACACACAGGAGCTCTTTCAAGCTGGGCACTATTTCATTCACAACACCTGTCCCATCAACCAGGAATCAGAATCAGAAATACTTTAATAATCCCAGGGAGAAATTACTTTCCTTACATTTCTCCATCTGTAATAGAGTGACTATAGGACCGGTTGATATAACACAATTTCATACAATATATATAAAATTAGGGGGTCCCTGCTCCATCTTGTCATCAGTTTGGGGGTCCTTGGCCTGGAAAACGTTGAAGACCCCTGCTCTAGAGAAACCGTTTCCTCCATACTGTTTCTCTGCAACCTGCAGCTTTGACCCTGCATTAAACTCTTTTAACCCTCCAATGCTAAAGAGTTAATCCTATGAGAAGGTATTAAAAACAAAATAGCTTTAGAAATTAATCTTTGGTGTTTGATGCAACATATGCATAGCAATTCAGCAAAGAATGACACAGTGTCAGCAATATATTTTTTTATTGATTTAATTACCTTTTGGTAACTATGTGTCTTTCTTGTAAAATGTTTTAAAAAATAGATGCATTTTCCATTGGAGAAGATTTTTTTCTTTACTTATGTAAAAGTTTATATTAAGACCTTAAAAACAAAATCTAATTGTGGCGTTTTGGCCTAAAGTTCTAAAGAAGTTGGCTATATTGTGTTTCATGGGCTAATTTGTTCCATGTAGCTTTTTTGGCTCACGCAAACAGAAAATAAATCTAAGTTCTATCAAGGTTGCTGATCCCTGGTTTGGGTAAATTTACTTGCCTATAGAGTTGATGATAATGCATGGAAGAGCGCCTCTGATGTGTTCAACGCTTGAGATATTACCTTATAACTCAACCTTTCTTGTAATGCCTTGTTTTTATGACAATATTTGCACACTAACATTCTTTAATAAACTTGTGAACCATTTGGAAAATATTATATATGCATCGAAGCTAAAGTTCACTTGATTGGACTGTTAAGTGACCTATGAGGGTGCTTGGTGGTCCTGTCTTTTATTTCCGGGTGGAAGAGTAAAGGAAACTGAATATACATGTGCAGAAAAGCTTTTTTTAGATTAGGACTTTTAAGCATTCTGAAAATTATGTGGAATTTTCCTCCACTTCAATTTGTTTTGGTATGTTCCCTAAAATCTTAATGAGAAACATTATTTGCTGTGCAAGGCACTTCATTTGCTGCTTTTTCATCTATTCTGTATCAGTGAGTTTGAATAAGGATAAAGTTTGTGATCAATTCAATGTAGCAGCTTAATTACAGATTTTTATGTGCACAGCTCTTCAGCTGTAGTGAGGCAAATATTTGTTTAAGCAGTTTGACAATCCTAAATAAAACCTATCTGCTTGTTTTCACCTTCTGATCTCCCTCTCTGTGCATCAGCCGGGAAGTTTCTCCCAACACGCAGAAAACAGCAGACTGCAGCCACTTGTCACAAGAAAACAAATCAGGCAACTCCTCCGCACACAGTTCTCCGGAGTTTGCAGCCGCAAAGAACAGGTGACCATCTGCTGTAGTGCAGTGAAATATGTGAAAAGAGGCAGGTGTTGATGAGGTCAGAGTAACCAAGGTGTGTAGTCTGGCGATGTGTTGCAGGGCGCCTTCAATCCCTGAGGCTCAGGACCTGTCTCGCTCCTCCTCCAACGCCAGTAGCTTCGCCAGCGTCGTGGAGGAGCACGAAGCTGAGGAGGAATATGAAACCGGACTGGTGGGTATAGAAGGAGGCAGAGTGATGATCACATCTTTAAAAGCTCATGCATTATTAAAGCCACTCTGGCAAAACAAAGGCGCTTTTATTTCTCCCCTGATTATGTTGCCTTCTTTTAGTTTGGTTTAATATTTATAGGGGTGGTGCAAACAAATAAGTTGCAGAACAGCAGGCAATGCTTGCTTTAAAAAAAAAAAAAAAAAAAAAAAATGGCTTGATGGATTTGATATATCTCCAGAATCACAAGCATACAAATATATTGCAATGTATGCATATTAATGTTTACTCATGCATTTTATTTAGGACCATGTGTGCTTTAAAAGGGTTTCAAATAAAAGCAAATGTAACCCTGGAGTTAATCTGTAGTTGGGAGTTTTGATGACTTTTAAAGAACTCTTACAACCTAACTGGAAATGTTTTTTTTTCCAGGAAAGCGTGTCTTGTGTTACCCCCATAAAAAAGGACTCATTCGTTTACGGCTCTGTGGCAGAGGACAGCAACCAAGGAAGTTTTTCAGGTTAGTTTGGGAGATGATTGCTCACATTGCTGGGCCAGAGATAGCCTGAGGGCGTGATAAGCAGGTTGAGTCTACCATGTATCGGGGGAGTATCATCATTGGGCGGAAGAAAGAAGAACCCTTCCAGGATAAATCATGTCAAAGTGGACCAGAGCAGTGAAAGCCACCTCATCTGATGCAACTTAGCAAACAGCTTTAATAACTAAAGTTTTTTTTTTAAATATTTCACAGTACAAGCATCTCCTTCATTTAAAACCAGATCTTTAAATGGTTGACTTTGTTCCATCAATCTATTGCAGTTTTTACAAATCTCTTTTTTTTCCCGAGCTTGAACAGCTGGCAGCATTGTTCGCTTGAGTTTATTGCTCTTGACAGCCACAACCATCTGTCCCCTTCCTCCCAGCAGCTTCCAGTCTTCAGCAGCAAGCAGACGACGTGAAGACGTCGGAGCCAAAAGGGACGGACGGTCAGCCCAAGACAGAGCGACCCCTGCAGGAGCAGAGGCGCTCATCGGTGAGGGAAAACATCAGTCTTTAAATGTCATTTCAGCAGGCCGAACATGCCCGCTTACAGTGTTCACCATGTTCACCTTCCCACCTTTAGATTGCTGTACATTTCTTATTGCAAGTATTTTGTTAGGTACAGTTTTTTATAGCCTAAAGGGATGAAAAGATTATTACTAAATATTACTAAAGCTTCTATGAATCTAGATTATAAACATTTCCCATCAGAGCGTCTCATTCTGATGTGTCCATTTAAATCCAACGGGTTATTATGATATTGTGTAAAATATGACAGATCAGATCAGCTTCATAAAAGAATAACCACCAAAAACTGTTAGACTGCATATTAGCTTCCCAGTTTGTGGTTAATGTTGATTTTAATTTGAATGATTTTCTGCTGGTTTGCAGAACTGTTAGCTTCTCTCCTCTGATCAACATGTCAGCATCTGTTTTCAGGTAAGGCACCATGTTGCCCTAATCTTTGGCTAATTATTAACACTGCACATTAACATTATGATTTATTTTTAAAGATTCAGTTATAGTTAGATTGGTGTTCTGGTTGATTATTGCACTTTTTGCTAAGTTTTTCACTAATTACTCTTTTGGCATCACCTTTCTCATGCTAAAATATTGGGGGGGGGGTCAATTAAGCTATTGCAATTTCAAGTTGTTGTTTTTTTAAATCACTTCATATTTTATGGATTTATCTTTAAAAACCCTTGAATAAAGTGGGTCTTTGTGACAGTCAGCTGGTAGATACAAAAAGAAACAGAAATTGTGTCATCAAAAATAGGTTCTTTGATAATTTTATTTATTTGTAGATTAACCCTGTATAATCTTTTAAATTTAGGTTCTTTCACATGCCTACATGATTTTATAAGTACAAAATCGAGTCACTTTACAAACAAAAAAATAATATTCCTATAACTATCAAAGGTACAGAACAGCATGCAGAACTAGAACAGCACTTGGAGAGTGCAGACCTCTGCAAAGCAGCAAATTCTGCCCCATAGTGTGACATGTTTGTGAAACATAAAGCTAAAACATCCACATAATATGGAATCTTTCAAAATTATAATGAATTGCTCTTTGGCATGAGGTGCACCTTTCGTAAAAATATCCTAAAAATCCTTTTAATAAGTTTATAAATAAGACGCATTGTGTGTCTGCAGCCTCTGATGTTAGTTCTGCTCTAACCTTCTTTTATTCATTCTGCTTTCTTGTTTGATCAGCAGCTCGAGACTTCGAGTCATGGCTACCCTTTGTTTTGTTTTTTATAATTTTTTGCTTGCCTTCAGTATAATACTTCTGAACTTTTTGAGTCCGATGCTGAAGCTGTCAATAGTCACTGCTGCCTCCCTGTGGTTTAGTGAGGAATTGCTTGATCCATCAAACAAATTTACAGGGGCCTCTAAATATTCCTGCATCTGGATTGGGATCAGGTTCATCACCAAAATTGAATGAATCGTCATTAGATGAATCGGCATGAAGTGCACCTTTGGTAAAACATTGCATTAAAATCTATTGATAACTTTACAAGTAATCCTGCTAACAAACAAACACAACCGAAAATGTAAGCTCCATGGCAGAAGGAATAAAAATAGTCTCTTTGTAAACATACCATCATCAAAGAAAATTATTGAAACACCTTTGTCCACCCCTTTTTTTGTTTTATGTTGTTTTTTTCCAGATAATTTACTGTTACAGCAAATTTTTCAAAAAGGTGTTTGGATAATTTTTTTCCATGACATCCTATTTATCATTCAAGTCTGATCAACCTGTCTTTATGTTTTCTGTCTTTCTTAATACTCTTACCCTTTTCTTAGAATAATAAGTTATATAAGGGGAAGCTGATGCAGAGAAGGAATATAGGTCCTGGCCAAGAGACTGGCACATCCTCCCTTGAATGTTCAACAAAGATCTGCTGTTTATCACCACAAACATTCACCTCTCTGGACATGTATCGACCTCTCGCCCTCATTCCGTCCTCCATGCGGAAAACCTTGTTCTCAAGTGGAAGCAGCATCGAAGCTGACTGTCGTCTGGCAGCTGGCTTAGGACAGGACATCTGCTCGTTCTTCAAGCCAGGAAGCACTGATTATTACAGTTAAACTTTCAGACATTGTGGCTTTTTCTTACAACACATTCAGTAAAGCGTTTGACTTTTTTTTTCCTTTTTTACAGAAAGTTGGTTAAAAAAAGAAAGATGTAAAAAAAGAAATCTAAATTTTTCAAAGGACTGTGCTCGTCTTGCTTGAAAGAGTTAAACACTTCACTTACAGTGCGGAAAAGAAGTATGTTTTTCCTCACAGGTTTTTCCTTTGTTTTTGGTCACACTATTTCAGATCATTAAAGACATAACAGAACAAGTGAATGTTGTCTAGTTAGATGCACGTTGTTGTTTTTTCTAATTTTTCATTTATATATAAAAAAAAGCCATACCTAACCTTATCCAAACTAAAACCATAACTGTCCCCCATAGCTAAGGACTAGCTTGTTAACCCATGACAGAAACAACTGCCATCAAGCAACCGGTTACTGAGTGTTTTCCCACCAGGCAAAAATTGGTTGAAAAGACCATATGATTTACATCCAAACAAAGTCTTGAAAGGTAAAAAGCTGTAATTTTCAGATTGTTGAAAAGAATTTGCAAACTGGGTTTTCCAGACTAATCTTTGGTCTTAAGTGGAACAAAATCAGACAGACCAAACACAGCCCAATTTTAACAACTATTCCTGGACTAAATCCAGATTATGACTGAAAGGTCGGATTTAATGAGGTCTGGTGTGTTGGAGTGTTACACCACTGTTGATACAAATTGTTTTGTTTTATTCAGTCATATTGGAGGGTTTTCTGACATTAACAGCATCTGAAAAGCATGTAAATTCAGACTTTGACTAGGCCACTCAGAAGTCAACTCCCTGAAGTGCTACACTATTGACCTGCTCCTTAATCCAACTACAAAACTCTGGAGAGGGTTCACCACTGTTCCATGTCATCTCCATTTGTGAAGAATGGTCTTCACCCAGGTTAGCTGCAATCCTAAAACCTTAAAAGCAGCTTTGTAGCCCTGACAGATGTTTTGTTCAATTAGCATTCCCCCCATTCAATGAAATCGTGATATTTCTGTTTACGGAGACCATCTTATTTTTATACTCAAAGTTTGATGATCTGAAATATTTAAATGTTTCCAAAAATCAAAGAGATAAATGTGTTTGGGGAATCTTTAATTGTCAAATTCCCTTGCCACTGTGACACTATATGTAACTCTGACCTACCCAGTGAGCGTGGCTTTATTTAAGACAACACTTTTTATGATGTTATTCTTCCTACTGGATATTTCTTTTCTGCAATGGACTGGTGACCTGTCCAGGGTGGACCCCGCCTCTCGTCCATAGACAGCTGGAGATAGGCACCAGCACCCCTCACGACCCCACTTGGGATTAAGCGTGTCAGAAAATGAATGGATATTTTTTTTGTGGCAAAACAACGTTGGAATATTTAATTTCCGCAGGTCGATTAGTTGCTAGTGGTTCTAGCATAACTGATAAAGGTAGCGCTATGTTGGAAATGTGGGAAAAAGAAACAACAATCATGTTAAGACTTATCTTCAGAAACTCTTTGTTCGTAGACACCTGCTGATGTCTGAGTACAGTGTTTATTCCACAGTACTGTGCATGGTGAAATTCTACTTGCCAAAACCCTCCTTCTCTGCACATCAACACAACGCTTCACATAGAAGGTCGTCCTTGTGATATGTGTTTTATTCTAAACCAGCTACCATCAACATGCAGCACATATTGCTGTCAGGCAGCCAAATGTTACTGTTTCCATCTCTATTTGTAAAGTGTAATATATATAAATAACTGTGACCTACTGTAAGCACTACATTTGCTGTTCTCTAAAAAAATGCTGACCTTTTTAAAAAGCTTGAGTTTGTTGAGAAATGATCACACTGTGACGTGTCTTGAAGTTGCCTTTTTCATTGTGTCACAGAAGCTGCTTTATTGGAAGGTCATTTATAAAAGGCACCATGTTGCCAGATGAATGTAAAACTATAAAGAAGAGGGAATATAAGGAAGGGAGAGACAAGTTGAGGAATATATTTCAGTAAATTGATCCCTCGATATTTATTATGTAGTTTTCAGGTTACATTTATATTGCATACAAAAAAGAGGTTTAAGACACCAAAGTAAAGATAGAGCACCCATAAGTTTATATTATATTCATTAAAGCTCTTTATAGTAAACAAAGTGGTATAGGATAACAGTAAAAAACATATTAGATGAGGCAAAAATCAAAACAGAATTTAGATTCCAAAAGAAAAAGTTGACTGTTGAAAAGACTTAAGTAGATAAAGTCTGCCCTCTTGTGGCTCTATGTTGTTATTGCACATTGCTTTATGGTCCCATCAATCTACTGTACGTGTTTGCACTGCAGACCAGTGTCTATCAGCCACTTAAACACTGGCAGAAAACAAAAAACCTTGCTGTGCTTAGTTCAAATGATTGTATTTGTTTGTTGTTGTTGTTTTTGTGAACTGTTTGCTTTAAACCCTTGTTACAAATGACTTGTTTGTAAATATTGCTTTTCATCTTTTTTTGTAAATGAAGTAAAGAAAAAGGTTTAGTAAAAATGAATATGAACACCACTAGTTCTGGAGTTATTTCTTCTGAAATGCTGATTTATTTCATGCAAAGAATGAGAGTCTATAATTTTGAAGTGATACAGTGTTGGAAAATCCAAACTCTGGATTGGGGGGGACAATAAACCTGTTTGTTCCCCTCCTGTCGGAGGGTGTAATAGGAGCATTTGATTTATTTAAGCTTGCATGTCCAGTTTAATTTATCACAGATATAACGGGAACACCTTTGTTTACTGAAATGGGGCACTTTTTAATCTCTTGGTGATGATTTTAGAAAATTATCTTCAGGTCGTCCTCTGCGGCAATTGGTGCCTAACTGAGGATTAAGTGATTGCATTTATATTCATCGTTTTTAGATTTAATGACAAAACTACCTTTGCTCTGATTGTAAATTCTATTTCAACAAGATAGAAACAAACATGCTGTTCAGCCTGGATGATTACTAAGCACTCCTTTTATGCCACACCAGGTTTACTGCAGTGCAAGTATTGCAAAGGGTTCAGCCCCTGGAAATTTCAAGAATTCAAGTGGTAGAAACAGGGAATTGCTTTTCATTAACATCTAATTATAATTCAAAAAAAGGCTTTGCTCTGACATAAAACAGCATTTTCTGTACCTATAGCTACCAAAACAACTTTAACTAAATCCCAAAAGAATGTAGACCTGGATTTTCTCAGCTTCAGTGTTTCATTCACAGCTCAACGTTCCACCATTTGAAATCAAACGGCTTTCTACGGACGTTGGAGCCGCAGTGCACCTCTCCCAGCAGTTTGTGGTAGGAGGCAAAGTCGTCAATGAACGTGCAGGTTAGACCCAGGCCCTCCATCAGGGAGCACATTTTGGCCTCCAGGACACAGCGGCCGTTCACCTTGGGGCCAAACGGCTTCGGAATGCCAAGATGTTTCCCCAAGACAATCATGTTGACCTGGAAATCAATTTTAACATGAAGCCATTGAATTAGTTCAAATTTGTAGTGCTGTAAAAAAGATGTACCATCCGGTTCCATATTATTTTAGCATTCCTCTGTTTATCGCTTATTTACTACGCATAAATGTCTCCTGACAAACTATGCATTTTCCTAACACTTGAAGATAACTTGAATAATATAGTTTTCAATTATTCAAATTTCTTTCTAGAGTAAAACTGATCCACAATTAGCTAGCCTAATGTAAAACTATAAATATTATGCTTTTTAAACCACAAACTAAAAAGTTTAAAGCATATTTTTTTCAAATAGGAGGTTGTTGTCATTTACCAGCCCAGGAGTTACAAACAGAACTGTAAAACAGAAAAAAGTCTAAGTATAGAATAGAAATGGAGAATTATAGAAATGATAACTTGTAGCGTGAGAAAATTTCTGTTTGGATTTTTTATTTTTTAGTTATAAATTCCGTCAAAATTTTCAAACAGAACACATCTGTAAAAGGACAAATACTTCAAGGGGTCAGAGTGCAAAACCGAGTATACATTGTCATAACGACAGTTCACTGGGTGAAATGGACATACAGAGAAGCTCAAACCCCATCAACACCTCCTTTCTCTGCAAATCTCACAATTCTACACCACCATAAAACGGGCAAATTCACAAAGCACATAATTGAAGTAAATTCGGGGATGTTGCCTTATTTGGTTCTGGCTTGTACTTTTGTCACGCCCTGAAATTGACATACAGTAAATGCAGTGTTCCAGGCTGCATGGAGAAAGGGTAAAATTTTTAAAGTCATCCCAAGGATCCAAAGACTCGACAGGCATGGATTATCTTTTGTCTATCAGAAGATCCCTGCAAAGTTTGATGCTCAGCTGTTCATTTACTCTGAGCATTTTACCAAAGACAGCTTTCAAAAACTTGGACAGCAGGATTTGCTAAACTTCTTTTACTGAAACGAGGGGCTGTTCTGACCGTATGGCCATCACAACCACAAACTGCAAGTATGATTCTGTCGCTAAGCTGTTGATAGCAATGCTAGCATATCTATTGTGACCAGATTCCGGGCATTTGAACCGGGGCTGGTCCGGGAACCCCGGCGGCCGGGACCGGAGCAACCGAACCCGACACTAAGACAGTAGCCTCCCCCCTGCCTACCTTACCGGCAGAAGGGGGAAAGCACGGTAAGGCAGGCAAGGGGAAGCATACTGTCACCGGTATGCTTTGTAGCACTGTAGTGCAGCAGAACAGATAACCCGGGTTCTTGGGGGAACAGTGCAAGAGAACCTGAGCTGACGGCTCGGTTTCTCCTGCACTGTAGGTGATCAAAATCCCAGAGGATGTGGAAATTCCCTCTGACATTTTTTTAGATGTTGAAATTCCCCCGGACATTGATTTAGGTGTGAAAAGTAGGACATATCTAGGGAAAAAGAGGACATCTGGTCACCCTACCATATCAAGAATTTCGGAGTTTCAGTGTGAGTGCTTGTTGCTATGATGCGTCTTTGCTCAGCAGCACCGCTCACTGTAAACCAACCAATCAGCGCACAGCTCATCTACATTGTGTGCAGAATCATTACACCAACACCCTATATAAAGTGTGCTTAATTATAAGCCAACATCCTTTCCTTTGGCAAAATGGGTCAGAAAAGAGATCTGACAATTTTTGACTTTCCAGAGTTTGTCAGATGTCTTTCAGAGGGATGCAGCAGTTTGGAAATTGCCAAGCTTTTATTGGCTATATTACGTATAATAACAATTAAAAAATCTCAAAAAATAGAGTTTAGCATAAATTCTGAAAGTAAGAGCTGTAGTCTGAACTAGATGAGGTTATCTATGTGTGCTACAAGTTTGGTGGCACTACAATGATCTAAACTGTAATTACTGGCTATTATAAGCTATTAATAACAATGAAAAAAATCTCCAAAAATACAGTTTGGCCTATCTTTCCAAAGTAAGAGTTGTAGGATACACAGGTAACCTCATTTAGTTCAGATTACAAGTTTGGTGGCACTACAATTATCTATAGGTAGTCATTGCTCATTATATATATCTAATAATATGTAATAATAAAATAGAGATGCCATTTGTCATTTAGGCTTTGTGAAATTCCTCAAAAAAGTATTATTTTCAAATCCAATAAATGTGATAATTATCCACCTCTCCTTGGTGACCGTTTTAAATATTTCTCTCAGATTTTTTTGCAACTTGCAGGTGGTCCCTAAGCATTTGAGGAGCAGCGAGCTCTGCATAGGGTCCGATGTAAATCTCCCAGCGATAGGAGACTCATTTTGAGGAAACTACTGTTGTAGCTCACTGTCTGCCTTGTTGTTACGGAGAGGTGTCTGTTTGGTAGAATAAATCATCCGCAGATGAGTCATTAATCCGTAAAAGCCGAATCTGTGAATATATTGCCAACTTTACTGCAGTCTCACGATGCTTTCTCTCCACTCCTCTGCTGCAGCGGTGGAAAGAGGAGAGAGAGAGAAGAGATCGCCTGAGTTATATTTACCCCCTAATAAATAGGTCAGATGGTCATTATTGTATAAATATTGTTGCTTTCTACAGCGTACCAGGTCATGAAGCCATTTTCATTGTACAGATCAGTTATCGTCTGATCGCTGCTCTGGTGTCTCCGCTGAAATCATTGCGGTGTTGGCGATACTGATGACATAGACCTAGATGATATTTTTCTCCCCAGGCTCTCAGGTAAAGAGAGCAGAGGGTAAAGAGACTTGAGCTAAAACCTAAACTGAAGGGGGTGAAATGCTTCTCCCACCACAGCGCTAATGGGGCATTTACATCTGAAAAGGGAATCATGAGTTGTGAAGTACTGTTGGGGGGACTGGAGGCTGATGAAAATTATTGTATCTCTTGGACTTCTAGTGTTAAGGAGTCTTTTGGGTTGATTGAGAACACAATTGTTGCCCAATAATAAAAATAATCCTCAAAAATACAAATTGCCAAATAATTCTGCACACAGTGTAAATATTCAGGAGCATACCATAAAAGGAAGAAAACCTGTCGTTTCATTCTGGGGCTTTTAACCAGGTTTGCATTAGGCTCATATAACAGCAAATATGCCATTTTCAGCCCAACCAATGTTACACACCCTATTAGAGACCTTAAGGACCAGAACCAAATACCCAATATAATCATTCTATTACCCCTTTAAAAACAATACTGTACTTCAACCGTCTTTGCATCTTAACTAAAAAGCCAAAGGAAGAATTAAAACAAACCATATCAGGGTAGTAGGCCACTGCTCTTTCTTGTTTGCCCTTAGTCACCAGCTTGAAAAGGATTGGCAGGTCAATAATATCCTCCTCATCCAGGCCCAGCTCTTTCTTCAGCACATCCCTGTTCCAGTCAATGCAGTCCTGTTACAGACCGGTGGGGAAAAAGACACTAAAGTTGATGAACTTCAGGGAGCATAATAAGCAGATGTCAAAGGTTTAACAGCCTTCTAAGACATCCAAGTAGAAACTATTGAAAGAAAAGTCCACTCATTTTCAGAATTCAAACTTTTAAAAGTTCTTTAAATATAAAATCATTACATACTTTTTAATAAATGTAATTTTCATTTGAAGGAGCTTTACTAGAGGCATCCTTGTCATCAAAGAACACTACTGCCACCTACTGGTTTGTGATGTAACGGTGCGGTATCGGCTGCTGATCAAGTCCCAATGCTCTATCGGGTGTTTGTCAATACACGCTATTATCCAAGTCATCTTGAAAACATTCTTCGAAATGTTGGCTACATATTACGCCTTTTTTCTCTTGCCAGAATTTCGATGGTAAATCCTCCCTCTTTAAGTTGGCAATCCAACAACGAACCGGTGGAGGATCATGAACTGGAAAGATGAAATCACTTTTTTTTTCTTTTTTTTTTCTTTTACCAGATGTATTACAACTTCCAACTACCATGTACATGGGCATTGTCACTTAAACTATAGCGCTCACGAATTTCAATGGTGAAGTCCTCTTGAAATCTAATATCATTGTTGTTGATTGCAGGTGTGTATGATAGTTTGTATAGATTTTGCTTGTAAAGTGGGGAGAATGGTCCTAGGCTCACCGCAACGTGACGTTAATTACATTTTTATACTGATTAACGCAAAATTTATTAAATCCCTGTGAATGTATTAGTTTTAGCTATAGATAATGATCCATTGATTATTCTTTGCTGACTGGACTTTTCCTTTCATTTCAAAACAGAAGTCATTATTGACGCTCAATATCAGGTTTAAATGTTTTAATATCAGTGTGATTAATGCTTGGTTTATACACATGTTACTGTCAACATGATTAACATAGCATATAATGACTTAAAATTATAGGTAACTAAGAGGTGGATTTAAATCAACTCCAAACTGCTCCATCCATACTGCCCTCTTGTCCTTTTAAACAAGACCACATGGGGCGGTATGGAGTGTTGCTAGAATAAACATTGCAAACATGGATATTTTATCAGCCACTGTCCCCCATGAATACCTGATTTGGTCAATTTTATGTATGCGACACCAGTGTTGTAGGAAGATTCGATTCATCTTTAAAATCGGGGGGAAAAATGCTTTCGACAGAGAAGTTCATTGCTATGATGCGTTTTGCAGCAAAGACCAGTGTAAAGTGCTTTTCAAAGACACCCCTGTTAAAATACCACACTGGAAAAACAATCTAGAAATAAGATTAAGGAAAATTAGATGATTTGCCAATGTAATCAGTATATTTACTCTTAAAATAAGATATTTAGATAAAATGCACTTAAATAAGACAATACAATTGTGTTTTCTTATTTTAAATGTTGCAATGGCAAAATGTCTCTTTTACCTTTTCAATTCAAGAACAAATGAACTTATATTAAGAAAAAATGAATTATCTAGATTTTGATTTTTTTCCAGTGCAGGTTTTTGCAAAGTAAAGGGTCTGTAATAGGATGTGAAAATATTTTAAAATCTTTGAGAGTAAAACAGGTAAGAAAGTAAAATAACCCAGTTCTAAGTGTGAATCCTGTGATCTAATCATTTGTTCTAGATTGAGTATTTACATTCTTCCCATATCTTGACTTTCCAACCACATTGTGAGAACATCCTTCTTCCACGGCCCCTACTGGAGAGCACCACCTTTTTGTTTTTCCAAATTTGGTTTTTAACTTTTGCCAAGTGATTCCAAAATGTACAATTTCTTTTTCTGTACTTATTGTTTTGATTTAGATGCACTGTCTTCTTAGACTGATTGCAGAGCTGAAAAATAAAATCTCTCTTCAGCCTTTTAACAGGCAGCTCGGATTTTGAAAATTCTCCCAGCTTAAACTTTGAAGCTGGGAGTATTTGTTGCCCAACACATCCAACAAAGCTGTGGCCTAAAAGTGTTATTTTATATGAAAAAAATGTTTGGTGTTTTTCTTTACCAACCACCCACCACTGAGTTTAATGCACAGATGTTGATTACTCATTACTGTCCCTTATTAAAGCAACATAAAAGTAGATGTATGCAGTTTTAGTATGCAGTTCACAGTCCCACTCACCTGCACATATTCATTTTGAAGACGGAGCCTGTCATCACTCAGGATCTTATCCACTGTCACTGGCTTCTCATCTTTCAAACCTTTAGGATAATTTGCACTTTTAAGTTCTGTTTATTACAAGTATAACTGATCATTTTTATTAAAGTATGCAGTATAAACACACCAAATGTACCTTCAAAGATTTTGGCTTGGCCATGTCCATCATTTTGAAGTTTTTTGAATATTTTGTAGCCAGCGTGTGGGCTGGCCAGCAGCAGTCGAAAGCCCTGTACGCAGGTGTACAAGAGACAAAGAACATTGGAGATCTCATTTTCAGAGAGCTCCCACAATCCCTTGATAGAACTAAGGGCATGGCAGCATCAACCACTAATGTTGGGAGATAAAGGAAGAATCTGAACCCTAAAACTAGGCAGACATCACATCTTATAGATCTGAATACAGTGGGAGCCAATGTGAGTTTCATTTATCATGAAGCTTAAAAAGCCACATTACACAGCTGTATTAAAACAACCATCAAACATCCAAAGATGGAAACAATTGAAATGTAATCCTTCATCCCATTAAAGTTTCACCTCTAGAATTGATGCTAGAACATATAACTTTTCCTGAGTATGAAGCAATTTATATTTTGTCTGGTTATCTATAAGATATTATTTCAGCTTTGTTCTTTTTAACTACCTTTCTGTCAGGAGCAGGAACAAAAGTCATGAATTCATCGACATGGCCAACGACGAGCCAATCAGAATACAAGGCCACAGGTTCCTGAACCTTCTGAGCCCACAAGAAGTCTTGAACGACTTGGGTCATGTTTCGTCCATTTGTGGTCCTTAGAGAAAGGAAAGAACAACAAAATCTTGACACATAAGCTGTGTCCGGACATACACCTTAAATCGCTTAATCGCTATATAGAGCGGGGACTTTATAATGGACTTCATATTAAACTTTATATTCAGTTATATTAGCCAGTTTAATACCGCACAATTTAAGTGTTGATCCGTTGCAGCATAGTTATAATGCCCTGAGTGGCTGACGTTGTGCTTGTTGATTGCGTATAACCTTAGTCCAAGTTATTCCAGCCAGATGAACCATTTGTGAACAAATCCATTTTTTCCACGGTGCACAGTCACAGGGTTAACAATGACTCCACCACAACAGTCAAAAACTTGCACGCCCTTCCGAATTCAACACCTATCCACTACCTGTCACCTCTTGGTTTACCGTAAATCCTCTAATATGGGACGGGGCCTTTATATCACACAGGTACATCTTGGTCCAGGCCATTATTGGAAGGAGGCCAGAATTAGAGGCATGCCTCTATTTCTATTTGACTAATGCAGACTACCAGTGGAATGAATAAAAATGAGATTTCGTGTCTCTTTGAACCTATAAAATACTAGGTTCATTTATTGAAAAAGTACAGTTACCATAACGGTAGACAAAACATTATTCAGACATCTTCCAGCAGCTGCAATTTTTCTGCACGGCAATGACGAGGGAAAAAAAAAAGACACAGAATGGAATCTTGGCCAAACTGACTTGCGAAACAAAGTTTTTAAAAAAAATTATAGAAACTGTTCTGCCATCACAGTGAAATTTTATTTGAGGCAGGCTAAGTGGAAGTAGGCTACCAGCATCATATACTTCAAGAAAAATTCAGAACAACAAAGGCCAACGAAATTCTGTCATTTTAAGGCTGCCTGGTTACCAGACCTACCAGTAATCACATGTGTCTTTCAGATCAGAATGATTAAGTAAGGCCACTATGATGTCTTTGTAAGGATGGGACATCCCATGCTAATGGCTTGGATTTGTTAGCAAACATTGCCCCCTTGTGGTACTTGTATGTTACTATCACCAGTTGTTGAGGACTGCCCAGGAACATCCTTGGTTCTAATTATAGCCCCGGCCTGTATACAAGTCCGGCCATTATTTACCTCTGCCAACAGCGAGACTGGCTGTTGTTAGAGACCTGAATGCTAATGGAATACAGGCCAATATTAGATGATTTACGGTATATATTGGAGGGGAGAGCCCCATCTAGTGAACCCCCCCAAAAAAAGAAAACAAACAAAAATAGACATATTTGACTCTAATATCAGTTTAACTGACTCTTCAGAGATGATCACTACTTTTTGTTTCCCATTGGTCACGGGACCTCAGCTCCAAGCAGGTGCCTGCCTCTTTGTTCTCTCTCCCCCAAAACAAATCCCATGATGCTTTGTGAGGAGAGTTCTTTAAAGCATTCTGAGACATATCTGCTCATCTAGTGACCGTGGTTGCACACTTTCAGGTGCATTTTAGGAAATTTTGAGTCCACTATTTTTTCCACTACTAGACATTCGGACATTCATATAAAAAAGTGGATGCTCGGACACAGCCATACACTGATTTTTTTTTTTTTTTTTTACAGCTTATGTGGATGCAGAAGATGTTACTAATAATGCTGTACTCTAACATTTATGTTAAAAAAATATTATTATTATTATACATGCTACATTATCAGACGCATAGAAAAGCAATGCTGAAGAAATATTTACTTAAATATTATATATTAGTATGACAATAAAACACAAAGCAGATAGTGAACAGTTTAAAAAGGCAATAAAGATCTGGTTAAATTCATATGGAAAGAAGTCTGGCCCCTGGGATCAATATAAAATAAGAATTAAGCCAAACTTTGTTCTTTTTTATAAACTCTTCTGGGATCCTGTTACTTACGTTGGGAAGGCAACTCCAATGAGGATTCTGCCCAGAGGGTATTTTTTCCCATTCACTGTGACAGGAGGGCTGACCTCCAGGTTACCGAAGGAGTCCAGACTGCTAACAGCATCTCTTTGAGCTTCTCTTTTCACATAACCAAAGTCACGCCCCTGAAGATAGAAAAATACATATATAAAGATCTGTTCTACAGTGGCAAGGGGTTAAAAAATGCACAAAATGTAAAAATAGAAATATAATTTACTGTCCTTCACTGGGGCATTTAGGTGCAAAATATTTTCCTGTTATTAAAAATAGTGTGATTGGGTTTTTAGATATTTAAAACAAAGTAGAATAATCGAACAGCTGAACAAGCTGTGCTAGTATTTATGTGTAGAGAGACACCAATCATTTTTTTCCCTTGTGAGTGAAGGCTTTAGCCTTGACATAAACATTGTTATAAAAAGGTAACAAATTAATATAGATATAAATGTACTTTACATTATTAATTAACAAATACAAAAAGAAGAAAAAATCATCAAAAAGAAAAAAAATATGCACTGGATTGGATCTCAGAAATCAAATTACTAAAACCAATCCAGCTAATTTGACAATATCACAGCCAATATCTGAACCAGGTATCAGATCAGTGCATCTGTAATGATTTGTGAACTACATTACAAAAATTGACCAGTTATGTCTCACTTTTTGTGTCAGTGAAACTTCTAAGATGTATTCAAGCTCCAGAAGGGGCAGCATTTGATGTAAACAGACTTGCTGCAGCCTTTGAAACTCTCAAAATGTAACTGGGTAATCTCTCTAAACATTTTACAGCAAGCCTGCTTGCTCAAACTCCTTTTGGTGGATGTCCATCCCAAAGTGCATGGTAATCACACACTTTAAAGTCCTTTCTACTTTTGGCCATTGAGTCGCAAATTTTACACTGTAAATATAAATTGAAATCAATGCAAATACAAAAACCAGTTTTCTTACCAGCCAGTAGTGATCACTTATTTCCTAGAACCCATTTACAGGCAAACCACTTGCATATGTTAAACTGATAAACTACTGATAAACTATGACATTCACAGCAGTAAACATAAAAAAAAAAACTTCTGATGCTGTAAAGACCTATTAGTGGACATCAAACATTTCCAAAAAATATTTTGGATCTAAAAACATTTGATCTCAAAGGAAAACGGAGACTCTTACCAGGAGATCACCATAGGGGAAATAATCAAGGTCTCCATCTCTTGGTGAATCCAGAACAACAGGAAACCTGTGATAGGGCGAATCAACGTAGCCAAATTCTAGCTCATCCTGAAAAACACACATTATATTTTTCATCTCATATTCCAGTTGTTCTCAGGTGATTGGTTCATATCCTCTTTATGAGAATATTATAAAGACAATGAATAAATTATGTCAAAGAACAATCTTTAGAATAAAGGTTCATTAGATTTCCTGACTTGAATCCAGCGGTCTCCTCTGTTCTTGTATTCTTGGAGGATCTTCAGCTTGTGCCCGCTCCTGTCAACAAGGTCCTGCATTCCTTTGAGGAACTGGTAGTTATCAGATGTACTGAAATCACAAGCAGACATGTATTTTTTTGTTAACAAATATATTTTTTACAGCATGTCAAAATGTTGTAGCCGTTGATTATTGGATATGATTTTTTCTTTTTTTATGAATGAAACTGAGTTTTATCAATTTCAAGTTTTAGTTTTCTGAAAAAGCCGGAATGAGATAAGAAAACAATCAAGCTTACTCTGCCTGAATTGCTTCTAAACAAAGAGGAAGGACGACTTTAGCCAAGCTACTGACAAACATCTTTATCATTCAGTAGTTCTCTCTAACCTGCAGATAAACACCTCCTGAGGCTGGAGGGTATTGGGTGTCATGATCCATGGCGAAACTCTAAACACCACTTTGTCTGTGAAAACAGGTGTCTCAGGAACGCCCTTAAAAAAAGAAAAAAAAAGGGATGAGTATGCTGCTATCTTCTGTAATTGACTATGAGATAACAAAAGCAAGAAAAATGATACATGTTTAAACATTTGTCACAAAAATGCTAAATAAATAAGTATAAGGTCTTTATTTTGACAGCTCAAAATAAAGTCTGGTATCAAATGTGATCTAAGTATAACTGCAGCCGCTTCATTAAGTGGTTTGTTAGAGACCATCAGTAAAGTCATATTCAGGCATTTGCCAAAAAAAAATAAAAATAAAAATGACTGTACATCATTTTCATTCCACTTTGTAAAATTGTTGGATGTATGAATGCATCATATAAAATCTATACAAAACATTGTTGTTTGTAGCCATTATATGAAAGTATATAAAAAAAAATCTCCAGGACAAACAGTACCTTTGGAAAGTGGTTATAATAAATAGCTTAGTGTAAAATTAGATGTGCCGTTTTGAAGGTCTTACCTTACGGGACGTCCTCACTAAGCTGAGGTTAATGGTTACGAGTCCATCAAAATCCTTGTCAGGAAACCTCAGGCCCTCCACATAAAATATAAGTTCTTGATCGGGTCCAGGGTAAGGCACTTCCTGAGACAGCACCTCGCTGCTCAGGACCAGTGGAAATTCATTTACACATTGTCTAATAAATATTGCTGTGGATGCATAAAGATAAATAAGAACCATTAGTTTCTTTATTTTAAACACAGACACAAACACATACAAAACCTTTGTCTAACAAGTGATTTAAAGCTACAGTATGTAATTTTTAGTGACCTCTAATGGGCAGCCATGACCCCGCCCCCACACCAATAATACGGACACAGTTAAAGCACAAAATGGCATCAGTAACGTCCCCATATTCTAAATTGTTAAACTATGATGAGGTTTGTTTAAACAGATAATTTTATGAATAATATTTCATTAGTCGTGCAGGATAGATTTTATACAGGCCTAACTTGCCTCAGTCGTATTTTGAGTATAATGGCGATTTCTACAGTCACTATTTTGTCAGTTCTGCGATTCTGTGGCGCAAAGATGTCTTCTTTCATTAACGGGAGGCCTCCTCCTGTGTTATTATAAAAAGCAATTTCAAAGGCAACACAAATATAAAGATTGGATCTTTTCTTTAAATAATATACTTATGCATAATATATAACATTAAATTCAAAAATACTTTACATTTTTTTTCAGTGCTAACACTAAAGAGGCCATGAAGACTCTATACCAGGCTATCTCTGAGCTCCAATCTGCATACACAGAGGGTGTTTTCATCATTGCTGGGGATTTAACCAGGCTTGACTGTTCTCCCTCATTTCTACCAACATGGGGACTTTGCAACTCGGGGTGAAAACATTTTAGACCTGGTTTACTCTAACATCAAATTGATTTCAGAGCAGCCCGCCGCCCCTACCTAGGGTCATCAGATCATCTCTCGGTCATGCTTATCCCTGCATATAAGCCCCAGCTTGTCAGGGCTAAACCCACAGTTAAAGAGGTCCAAGTGTGGTCTGAGGGCGCCATGGAGACATTCCAAGACTGTTTTGAATGCTCTGACTGGAACATCTTCAAGGCTGCAGCGACATATGACAACTTATTTAATATTGATGAGTATGCTATGACTGTGTCAGCCTACATTAACAAATGCATTGAGGACGTCAGCATCAAAAAGATCACCACCACCCGGGCCAACCAAACACCCTGGATAAATGGAGAGTTCAGAAATCACCAAAAGCACAGAACTCAGCTTTCAAGTCTGGTGATGCAGAGGCACTGAGAACAGTGCGTGCCAACTTAAACCATGCCATCAGATCAGCGAAGCAGAACCGCAGCCAGAAAATCCAGGATCCAGGACCGCAACACCATGATGATGTGGAAAGGCTTTCGGATGATCACAGACTACAACACACCCTCCCCCCGGTAGATGCAGCAAACACTGACTTCCTAAATGAACTGAACAACTTCTTTAGAAGGTTTGAGACACTACACAGCAGACATGGGCAATGTGGAGTCAACAAGTCATCTCCATGTCATGTATTTAATCTACCCAGCCAATTAACCAGGCGAGTCCAATCTCCACAGGTTAATTCACGGTGAAGATTGGACTCACCTGCTTCAGTGGCTGGGTAGAACAAATACATGACATGGAGATGACTTGTTGACTCCACATTGCCCATGTCTGCTACACAGCACTCCAGCAGTGAAAGCTGTTCCACACCAGGGGGAGGAGACACTAAACCTGGACGTATCTGAAGTGAAGGAAACTCTGAGGAGAGCTAATCCAAGGAAGGCCCCAGGGCCTGATAACATACCTGGGTGGGTGTATAAGGAATGAGCAGATCAGCTGGCTGGTGTCCTCACAGACATCTTTAACACCTCGTTGGACCAATCCATATTGCCAGCATGCTTCAAGTTTGCCTCCATTATTCTGGCGCAAAGACGCCCCAGGTCAACTCACTTAATGATTACCGGCCTGTCGCACTGACTCCAAACATGATGAAGTGCTTCGAAAGGCTGGTTAAAGAACACATCGTCTCCAGTCTGCCGCCAACATTCGACCCGTTCCAGTTCAGCTACCGATGGAACCGCTCCACGGAGGACGCCATCTCTGCGGCTCTCCACCTGAGCCTGGCACACCTGGAGGAGAAGAACACCCATGTGCGGATGCTGGTACTGGACTTTAGTTCAGCTTTCAACACCATCATTCCACAGCATCTGGTGGGCAAACTGGAACAGCTGGGCTAAAATAAAACCCTTTGAAATTGTCTGCTAGACTTCCTCACAAACAGACCTCAGTCAGTCCGGGTTGGACAGCACACCTCTGATGTCATCATCCTAAGCACAGGCTCTCCTCAGGGCTGCATCCTAAGCCCCCTGGTGTTCACCCTCATGACACATGACTGCGTCCCCAGGTTCATCACCAATCACATAGTGAAGTTTGCAGACGAATCCATGGTGGTGGGCCTCACCAGGTTCAACGACCAGAACTACAGAGAGGAGGTGGAGCAGCTGGTGGACTGGTGCAAAGATAACAGCCTGATCCTGAACGTGGAGAAGATGAAGGAGATCATCTTGGACTTCAGGAAGAACCGTCCTAACCACGCTCCACTGGTCATCAACAGTTCAGCTGTAGAGGTGGTCAACAGCACCAAATTCCTAGGGGTGCACTTCACAGACACCTTCACCTGGACTGTAAACACCACCTCATTGATCAAAAGGGCAAAAAAAAGTGCATGTACTTCTTGCGGAGGATTAGGAGAGCCTACCTGCCCCCACCCATCATTCACCCCCTTCTATAGAAGCACCATTGAGAGCGTTCTGACCAGCTGTCTCACTGTGTGGTGTGGAGGCTGCAGTGCCTCAGACTGGAAGAAGGTGATAAGAGTGGCGAGAACAGCAGAGAAGATCATCGGGGCTTCTCTTCCCTCCAGTAAAGACATTTCATCCCAGCGTTGCTTGTCCCGAGCCTGTAACGTTATGAATGACCCCTCGCACCCCCACCATGGGCTGTTCTCCCTACTGCCCTCTTCGAAGAGGCTTCGAAGCATCCGATGGAGGTCCAGCAGATTCCATACCAGTTTCTTCCCCACTGCCATTAGACTGCTAAATGTTGTGGAAAATGGGTCATTTTATTTGTAAAAGACAAATGTTATTGCTACAACTGTAAATATACAGTAATATGTTTATATTACTATTTTTTAATATATTTATTACTGTTTTCAAGGCTGCAGTGAAATTGTCTAGAGCTGTTTTAAATTAAATTTCTTTTTGTTTACACTTGTGTATACAAAATGACAAAATAAATCTGTCTAAGTCTATTTATAGGGTTGTTTTTTATCAATTGTTGTAGGTACTGATAGCTGTAGATAGCTATACATTTCTGCCAGTAAATCCCTGTAATTAGTACACACTGTAGCTTTAAATAAACTGAAAAACATTAAGCGGCCATAAAGGTGCGTTCACACCGAATACAACACCTGCAAACATTTCACCAGTTTCACCTGCCTTTGCTCACCTTGAAATTTGAATAGTCAGTGAAAGCAGATCACACAGCAGGTGAAAGGCTCCTACGTCATGAAGTCTACTGGTTGGCGGACATGGATTTACAAAGAGTGTGCAGTTTTTTTTTTTTTTTTGAAAGCTAAACAAAGCTCTGGGGGTCTCTGGGTTCACAGGATTTCCAGAGCTGGAAGCAGGACTGGGAATAGCTATATCATTTACCACCAGCTCCTAGAGAGGCTATATCTGAATGATGGTCACTTTCAGTGGTAGTTCCGTCTCTCCGTGACCCAATTCTAGGCCCTGCTGTCACAGGGTCAAATCACCCAGAAGACAGAGGGGAGATGAGGAAAAGGAACAGCAATAAATCAGTGTAAAGACACAGAGGGAGAGGGCATAAGAACCGGGACGAAGGGGAGAGGAGGCAGGGGTTTTCCGGTAGAGAGAAATATCCGGAAGAGAGAGCAGAAGCTAGATTGGAGAAGCACTGTCGCTACCCGATCCGTCCCGGAAGATCAATCCATACCATCTGCACATTTGGGCATCCGCAACCAGAAATATATCCAGGTTTCCATATTTCATGAAATCATGGTACTAAATTTTATTATTTCCATTCCCTAACTCACTAAAGAACAATAATACACACCTTTAAAAAAAGGTCTGAGACAATTTTGATGCTTTTTGCATTTTCCCTGTTAAACCGCTTGTGTGATGTCATCATCGGACATTGTCCGAGAAGTCCGGCTAAATATGATTAAACCATGTTCATCTGCATTTCAGTTGTTTCTTTCTCTAGATTATGCTCTATATACCTTTCGGTTAACACGAAAGGGAAAAAAAATACTCGATTAATGATTAAATCCAAAGTCGAAAAAGTTAGCTCCTGGAAGTAGCGTAGGATCCCATTTCCTGTACAGATCAGGCACAGACAAGTGATAAGACAGAAAGGATTTTAAAGAATTTATTTTCCCAGGAAATACATAATTAACCTTTACCACATTATAATTTAGTACGCTTACTGTTTTGGGAGCGGGAAAAAACATGTTTTTTACAAAATAAAATTGAGGGGGGGCCAAGATGTATATCTGGTTGAGCATGGGCTGATTGTACGGATCGTGCTTCCGGGACGGATCGGGTGGCGACAAGCATATCAGGGAAACAGCGCTAGGTGAGAAGGGCCACAACTAACCGTAGAGGCCAACTGCGAAGGATAGGAGGACAGTGGTAGATCGGATAAATATTTCCGGCAGAGAGCACCACTGAAGGCGGGGCAGAGGCTTCCAAATGTCAGGGGGGTCGGGGTTCAGTGGCACAGAGCGTAGAGAGAGTACATCTGGTGGGAGCTAGCATCGAGGCCAACTTGGGAGCATTCACCACTTCATACTTAGCATTATTTCCTGCAGCTGCCATTTTGATTTAAAAAAAGCTAGTCACTGCTGCATCTTTTCTGTAGCCCAAAGCCACATCTAGTCCCTGATTGGATTTCAGGATGTGAATGTAAACAAAACAAAAATAGTAAACATATTTTCAACTCAACACATGTGGTGGCAATCAAATTTTGCCAAATTTGCCAGAAGTGTGCCAAAAATCCTGATAAATTTGCCACCTTCACCTTAATCCACTTCACTTCGGTCCATTTCCACCTTCTACACAATAATTACAAGGAATTTCATTGCTCGAGCTGCAAAATTCATGTTCAGTGTGAAGGCACCTTTAGACGACTGTTGAATTGCTTCCAACTTATATATGTTGGATTTTTTTATTTTTTTTTAAACCAACCCTAATTTTACTCACGCATTTTGGCCTTAGTAATCCGTGCCTCGTCCTCGGTCTCATCTCGGTAGACTCGAATACACTCTGAATCTCCCTGAGAGATATGCAAGGTAAGTTTGTAACCTCCGGAGAGGTTGGGCGGGCCGCTGGTGCGCAGAACCATGGTTGCACAGTCCTTAAGAGCTAGATAAAGATAAGAAATCACATTGGCACACACTGTTTAAAATATACCTCTTCCTCAAATTTTGAATGAGGTTTACACTCATGGGTCTAAGACTAAGATTTTAAATCCGAAGCATCCTTTTTTTTGGGCTAATTAAGTAACATGTAGTCATCTTTCAGAAACAATCATTTAGCATTGCATGGCTCAGATTATAATGCCACAGTCATATATGGGACCCAAAATTAAGTAACAGTTAATCAGGAGTATTTAGGTAAGCTGAGCTTGGTCTTACTTTCTCTGTCACAAACTGTATGCAAACCTTCAATATTGCCATTGCTACTATATCCTCACAATTTAGAACGCAACAATAGAGAGTGTGGATAATTAATTTTTTTCTTAGGTTGTAATTTCTATATATGTTGCACTAATAATGCTTTCTTAATACTCTTTACCTGTCTGATTTGGTTTGTGGCCTTTGGTTTGACAGTCTGGTTTTTCGTGGTAATAACTTTCTCTGTCACAGTTTACCAAAACGACAGCTCCATGCCCATCAGGACCCCATTTCCAGGAAGCCTAAGAGATTTTCAACATAAAAAATGGAATAAAAGTCTTTTTAAATCTCTACCCAGCACATTCTTCAAATTCACATTATATTTTTTCCTTTTCTAAACAGTAAGAATCTGCATTATACAAGAACATTTGTAAATAAGAAAACTGGAAAATTAAAACTTGCTTTTTCTGTGAAAAGCTCGAACTATGTGCCTTTTAAAAGACGCAAACCGAAGAACTCAAAACAAATTTTAGCTTTTCCATGCAGAAAGGAGCCATGACCCCTAAAAGGGAGGAATTTGACAAACTTGGATGAGGGTGGGTCCATTAACAGGTCAGCCTATTATGCAGACACCGTTATTTCTGTGGGAACTCGTTTTAAAGTTACACTTGTTTTGCATTCTGACAACCCCAGCCATAACCCCTTGCTCACACTGGCTCCGGTGCGGTTACCGAGCCGACGGAGACCGCAACTCCCGCACACCCCCTCTCACACCGCCCTTTTGACTACGGTGTGGTGCGGCTCCGGCAACAGGTCCGGAGATTTAACTCGCGAGAACAGAAGTTCACTTGAGTTCACGTAACTTCACGCGATAACACGGCCCAAATAAGGATATTTGCAAGAGCTTGTTGCGGAGGGCTCCGGCACGCCGCAAGGATAGCTTTCCTGCGGAATTTTCTGCAGCACTGGAGTGTCTCGGTAACCGCAGCCGGACAGCTCAGCAGCCGGTGAGAGAGGTTTACGTCTTTTTAATGACTTGGAATCACTGCGGCGCCGCACCCACCGCACCGCAACGGTAAGACCGGAGTCGGTGTGAGCCGGGGGTGACAGTGACTTAATTTAAAACACAGTTTCAGATGGCAAACATCACCACTGTAGATAAAACAACGTAGCTGGAACAGATGTTCTATAAACTGTATCCAGGGTAGGCCATATGGAGGAAATGGTACCGTTTAGACTTATTGTTAGCACCAACAGCTCTGTCACAAACACGATATTGGAAAACCTCTTTCAAGCATTTTGGTTAGTAACACTTGACACCAAACAAAAAACTCCTCCGCCTTCAAAAACAGTAAAATCAAATTTAGAAATTTGACCCACATATTGCCATAGTCAATGTAGTGATATGATTGGTGGGGACAGTCCATACCAGGCCAAAGTTGGTGGGAACATGTCCAGACCAGTCCTACAGAAAGATGCGCCCGTGCATTTCATGGGAGGTTGAACTTGTGCTGTCCAAACATGTCCTATTTTGGCTCCACATTCTACCGCTTATTGCTACAATTAAACCTCATTTTGTAGCTCCAAGTACAGTTCTCACTGAGAAAGAACCGATGGGCACCTAGGGGTCCTCAAGAAACACATGGGTTGATCTCAGTGTCTTCTGAAAACAGATCAACTCACCAGTGGCAAAGTTTAAAATTCAATCAGTTTTTTTTTCCTTCCTTTTTTAAACGTTTATAGAGCATTTCACCATATTAATCATACAGACAATTTCAGGATTTATAGATTTCAAATGACAATATCTTAAGAAAATTAGAAATTAAAAGAACAATAGAAATATGTTTATAATGTATGAAGTAAGGTGGACATTGATCCCTGTAGTTCATAGGTCAGTATCGGTAGTATGAATGAAACTGAAATTGTGTGCATACTAGGGAGGCATGATATATTGCTGTTGGCATCGGAATTGGCTGTTATTAGTCCCTTTTATTATAAATTAATGTCTAACTACCTATAAATATCAGTGTATTTTGGTTCTTTTGGTTCCATCTCTGCAGTCACATGTTTAAGCTTGTTCAAAGAAACATGTATTTAAGAAGTAATTGCTCAGAAATATTAATTATCTTTTAAATACCAACGCTTGTTCAAACCTGCCAGAAAATCCAGTGTGTGAAAGTGGCCTAGTTTTTTTTTTCCCTGTGGGCTCTTTGTTCAAACCAGCAAAGCCTACACAGATTTTGGTTCTCCTCCTTGATTTACATAATTTGCAGAAGAGTGCTAACATTAGCCCACCTTGATATCATAACTCTTGTCTCTATTCCACCAAAAAGGCTGATTCCAACAATCAAGGACTCAGCTGTAGATTGCCATTAAGAGTAAAAAAAAAAAAAAACTAATTTATACTAGTAAGAATTACGTTTTATATATCTAGAAATGTTTAGACATTTTAACTCGCTCTTCTGACATTTATCAGCTTGACTGAAAATGCATTTATGTTATCTGAAAAACATGTTTTCAAAGATAAAATGATACAAATGCTGACCAATAATATAAGGAATATGAAGATCTGAAATAAATTCATACATATCCAGAATGTTTATTCTAGATATGGAGAATGTAATTTTGTTTGTAAAGGTCATTTAGACAAAAAAAAAAACTTTTAGATAGCAGGAATACTCACAGAGCTCTGAGTATTAAGTTAAAAGTTCTCTTTTCTGTTGCTGTTGCTTAATAAAAGTACGTTTTAAGATCATTTGAGGGGAGAACATTACAATTTTAAGCATATGGTCCATTTACCTTTTTAATGGGTAATTAAAAAAAAAAAATTTACGAAGTTGAGAGGACCGTTGCAACTAGTGGACCTCTGAGGGTAACGGCAGCCATGTCTAATCCTAGCCCGTCTGCAGTAGCCCTCTCTCTGCAAAGCCCTGTGTGACGGACCACTGGCTATGATGGCGATTTTTAGTTCTATTTAGCAAAATGTTCATTTGATTTGTGTTTATCTGAATGTGTTAATTATTATTCACTCGATAAATGAAAAAAGTCAGAATTTATTATTATATAGAAACTATTAATAACAAGAGGGGAAATGCAGCTCCAGATTAGCTGAGCATGTGGTGAAGTCACGAGTGAGTACGCTTCTGTTCCAATTGACCCATATTTATGCTGCGTGCTCCCATTCTCACCAGTCCATACTTTCCTTTGTTCTTCTCAAGAACATACTTGGTGAGGACACGGATCTGTACTCGCGTTCTTATGAACTGAGGGATGGTCAATGAGTTTAATCAATTGTGTTTAAGGTTTTACCTTATTTGGGTTGTTTCTCTCCACAACACCATCTCTGTCAGCATCCACATCTAGTGAGAGCTCTGAAAGACAGAAATGTTTTGTTTTCCTTCAGCAGTGTTGGGCAAGCTACTTGTCCAGTGTAGTGAGCTAAGCTATCAGCTACTCAACAATAAATTAAGCTTCACTACACAAAAGCTACCACCTAAAGAATTATAGCAAGCTAAGTTACACTAATGTGTTAAAAGTAGCTTAACTACATCAGAAGCTACTTAACGTTGTACCAACCTAATATCAATTCAAAATAAGTCTGACACACTAGTTAAAATATTTATTAAAGATCAGCCAATGACATATCACAGTGTAAACATTGCTTTATGATCAGCATATTAAAATAAAAACTAAAGTAATTACTAGTAGACAAACTAGTAAACAATCTGCTGTTATTAGAACCAAATTAAAGGTACTGTGTAGTGTTCTACACACCGAGACATGGCTATGAGTTTGCATTCAATGGACATCTCTAGGGAAAACAAAACCCTACAAAAGACCTCAATTAAACAGTTGATTCAAGTAACAAACAAAACTGTTTACAAAAGAAGGTGAAAAAATAAAGAAGCTATTTAAGAGATACATATATATATGTCTCACCATATAATTTAATTTCTACCTACATATTTATTCATTGTATTTTTGGAGGCAATTAATTGAATGCTTATTTATTTATTTATTGAGCATTTATTTATTTATGTATTTATTTTATATACGGTAGAGCTGTTCCTCCATAAATAAAAACATCTTGTCTGTGCAAAGCCTAAAAACAGATTTATGTAAACATCCTGTCAGGTAAACTAGGCCATGAAAACACAATATGGAAGTTTCACTACTGCTCTCTAATTAGAGTATCTTAGTGGCACATAGATATGGGAGAATTATCCTGCCATAATGCAAGAGCACATCATTTCAATTTGAGAAAAGAATTTCATCTTCTTGCTCTCTAAACTTATAATGCTCACACTCAAAACATGCGCTCTCTCTCAAATATTTTCTCTTCTCTCTTTGTTTCTTCTCTCAGATTTAATCCTTCTTGCACAGATATTTTCTCCTCTCGCTTGCCTCCTTCTCTTCGCACACAAACCGAGCTCTGTTACGCTCGCAAACCCGTAGGCTCTGCTTGCGGATTTGTTTTGCTTTCTCAGACTGCAGTTGGATCGTTGCCTAGCAACCTTTCCAGCCAATAGAACGACAGGCTCGGAAAGGGTGCGCTTGTTTAACTCTACTGAGTGTGCCTCTGCTACTACGCCACTTATAAGAGCGTCAGCTGAAACTGCTATTTACAGTAGCTTGTGGCTGATTGTTGTTTCAAAATAGAAAACCTGGTTTCATTTCTAAGTTTTGCCCTGGATTTTGTAGCGTTTGTGGACGCTACGTCGCTACTTGATCAAAACAATAACGTCGCTACAGGAAAGTTACTTGATAAATAAAGCAGCGACGCTACGGTCAAGCTACTGGAAAATGTAGTTAAACTAATAGCTTCGCTACATGTAGCGGCGCTACTGCCCATCACTGTCCTTCAGTACTTTTGTATGGACTTACCATTTAACGCAAAGACTCAAACACAGTACAGTTATAGTTTTACCAGTCCCTGTTACAGCAATAATACTTAGACTGTAACCTAATGAAAAAAAAATCTGTGATGACCTGTTAAAGTTTAGCTAACAAAGAAATTCATTGTACATTAAGAGATGTTGTTATGCAAAACAAAACTTACCAAGAGGTACCAGTTCAAGCTGTGCATCTCCTATAAAAGCTTTTTTCTCTCCATAGAACCGGATAGTCAGCTTAGAAAAAAGGAAAATGCTGATTATGTATGAAAAAGGCTACCAGTTTAACATCAAATGTTACAATATCAGTTGAGAACGTTGAAGTTATATAAAGAATAATATCCATCTATAGCTGCAATGATAGCAGGAGTTGATCTGTCTCATCAGTATAAAATATTTGCTCCTACAAAATTAAAGGCAATGATTCTGAATTAAACCAAAGCTATTCAACCCTGCTATAGAGCACAATGGGGTTAAAAATAGATTTCTTTCAAATATTCATGTGTTGTCATTTTGTTTTCACAAATTTAAATGGAGTATCTTTAAACAAAAACAAGATTTTCAATTTAACTGCTGTGCAAATTACCTTTTCTTTGTAGCTGGGGCTAGGATGAAAGTGACGTTTCGTGCCAATGTGTAACACTGTGTTTCCACTGAGGAGCATAGGAGACAGATGGGAAGTCTCGTTTGGTGTAGGGCTAATGGTGTATAGAACATTTTGTGAGCACTTCACAGAGAAGAACTTGCAACCGGGAGGGGCATCCCTGAAAACCAGAAAAACAACATATTTTGGTGTAAGGTTTTTTACTCAATACAGAGTCCTTTTCAAAACTAATTATGCTCCTTAAACGTTTTATCAAGTTACAACAAAATTCAATGCCTTTCCTTGTGACGCACATGAATCTGTGGTCTGTGCCATACTCTTTGCATTTTTAGATGATACATTGAACAGTGCCTTGGAAATGGTCAAAGATTTAGTGTCTTACTCCTGCTAAATCTAATGTGACCAAAACTGAAGATCTCTGCATTTCAAAAATTGCGTTTTGTTAACTTGTTTTATTGCAAATGCAACAAATTGCCCAACCCTACTTTTTCCCAATTTATCCAGTTTTCACAATGGGGATTTTGTGTTATTTTTGATGTTTGTACTCACTTGGTTTTATGCAACAACCTTCTTAGCCATTTAACGTATCCCCAACATGACTTGCTACAAACGGCACACTGGACAGTACTTCGATTGGATTTTTTGGGGGTTGTTACATGGCAACATATGCAAAGATTGAGAGGTATGAATAAATAAATAATAGATTGAACTTTATTGGTATTGCATTGGAGAAATTAACTCTGCATTTAACCGATCTCCTTTGGGGAGTAGTGGGCTGCCACTGAGCGCCCGGGGAGCAATCGGGGGTTAAGGGTCTTGCTCAAAGACCCAGAGTGGCAGTCTGCAGGAGTGTGTTTCAAACTTACGGCCTCAGGATTACAAGCCCTATACCGTAACTAAGGGATTGGCAACCCAAACTTTTCAAAGAGCCATATTGGACCAAAGAAACAAAAAATAAATTTGTCTGGAGCCACAAAAATTTTAAAGTCTTGTATATGTCTAGTATGGCAACACAGACTCTAAATGTATTATCCCACAATAGAAAAGGACTATGTGGGCTTAAAAATATAACATGGATTCATGATTAAATGTTTATCCTGGAGCAAATGTCACATAGCAGAATGAGGTGAGGGAGGGGCGGTGAACGCTCCCATTGCACGCCGCTTCACCTCCCTTCACCATGCGGTTTAAATTTTTGCTGCATTGATGAAATTATGGAAACAGAAGCAGGAACTGACATCCATCAGAGCAGTGCTTTCTAACCCCGGAATCCCACATCCTCCATCACCATAGTTCCTTGGTGTGATTTATATTTTTAGGATTTGGGGAAAAAATTGAAGAAAGTTCACATCCCTGCATCAGAGTGCTACCTGTTGGATCTATGAAAATTTTTCCATGCTTGCAACCAAACTAGCCGCAGTAATGGGGTTTGGAGATGTAATCCACTTCTTAAATCTATCTTTGCGCTGCTCTAATTTATCCAGAAGTTCTGCAATCGCACTTTTCTCTCACTCCCAGCTTGGTGGTCGGCTGCATATTTGGAAATGCCTTTCTAAATTTTACTTTTTATTGTTTTGACAACCTCTCATTACAAAGCAAACATGCAGGCAATCCTTCCGCATTGGTAAAGAAAGCAAATGATTCGGTCCATTCTTTGAATCCTTTTATTATCAGCCATCTTCCTTTTTTCCCCTCTGGAATCCATGGTCCGACACACACCTGCAGCTTTGTTTGCCTGGCACCGCGCCACTCTGGTTGCAAGTTATGACCACTGATCTCTATGGCTATGACGCAAATTATTGTTTAAATTTAATTACACAAATGTCTAAAGCATCGGAAAACATAACAAATTTTCTTTGATCTCCTGCACACTATATTAAAACAAGCACACAAAAAAAAATAAAAAATGATTTTCATAAATTTTTTAAAAAGCTCCAGGGAGCCGCAAGGGGGACGCTAAATAGCCGCGGGTTGCCGACCCCCGCCCTACTAGGCTGTATTGTGATATAATCAGAAGATTATGAATATATTAAATAACTACAACTGGAAGATATAGTTAATTAATAGGTCATTCAACTCAAGGGTAAAACTAGTTACTTATTATCAGTTGAATGATAACTGTAATCGGCTTATTGACCAGGGTTTTAGTCCCTTTACTTAAAATGTTAAACTCCTGAATCCGGCTGTTAAAATTCCAGTTGTCTTTCACCAATTTAGTAATTTAGGCTATGGCTATCAGCAACATTATTAACCACCAACCAAATAAATGTGTCTCTGTTCATTCGGATGCTAATGAAAGAAGAGTAAATCCAGACTGAGTGATAAATTGTTGAGTGTAAAATGAAAAAAAAAAAAAAAACCACAGGTTAAAATACAATGGTACCTTTATTACCTAAGATCACACAGTATTATACCCAACAACTAAGCAAACACTAAACACTACTGAAGATAAGCAAAATTAAAGAAATAAATGAGGAACAGGGGTTTAAGAGTCCGTTCAGGGGTTTAAGAGTCCGTTCAAAGTCTGAGGAATGTTCAAAGTTTAATAGGCTTAATGCATATGAAAGTGTACTTTATAATAGCACCAGATAAACCCTGATGCATAGATGTTAACTGCAGTCAAAACAGTGAAGTTTCATTCAGTTTATGGTGAAAAATGAATAATGACTCAGGAATACGTTAAACTATGTGAGGCTGAAAGACCTGTTAGATTAGCTGGCCCCAGGGGGGTCTGGTTCTAGTCGGGTCCAACTGAAACAAAGAGAGGGTTAGCTCACGATGTAGCAGTTAGCTTCAGCAACACATGACTCGTTCAGTCTATGTAGTGAGCATTAGCATTCAGTTAAATTCTTAAAGGAATAGTACACCCAAAACATGATTAGCCTTCATTTTCTACTCACCCCCATGCTGAGCAACACTCTGGAGTACTTTTTTGATATCTCAAATGCATCTGGAGATCTGGGAGGCTTCTTGCTGTCTGCTGACATTCAAATAATGGAGGTCTATGGTGCCCGAGACAGAAAGGTCCATAAAAGTCCACAAAAAACGTGTCAATATTCCTCCATACTGCTCGTCCAATGTATTCCAAACCAGATGAAAGTGCGCATTCAGCTCGGCAAAGAACTCATGCTCTTCCTCAACACTGAAGTCCTCAGACATTTTTCTTTCGTTGTTTCTTTCTTTGCACAGGTAAACAGCACATTTCTTCTTCTACACTTGCATTATCGGCAGAGCAGACGCTGAATGCGCACTTTCATCTGGTTTGGTCTGCCGTGGTTTCCGTAGACTCGTGAATGCGCTTTTAGAAAATCCTATACACTACTGTTTATGCTCTAAAAACATTCTAAATGACTTTGTTTCGAGTAAATTATGGACGCTACCCACTCAGGACACTTGGAATACATTGGACGAGCAGTATGGAGGAATATTGACACGTTTTTTGTGGACTTTTATGGACCTTTCTGTCTCGGGCACCATAGACCTCCATTATTTGAATGTCAGCAGACAGCAAGAAGCCTCCCAGATCTCCAGATGCATTTGAGATATCAAAAAAGTACTCCAGAGTGTTGTTCAGCATGGGGGTGAGTAGAAAATGAAGGCTAATCATGTTTTGGGTGTACTAAAGTTGTAGGGAAGCGGCTGTTCCAACGGTTGCAGTTATGAATTCTCCCAAGTGGTGCCCGACTTTAGACGAGTGAATAAGGTGAATGTGATTGGTCGTTTATCAAGGGGGCGGGATTGTTGGGGCGGAAAGTTCGCAAGCATTTTGGTTGTGGCAGATGTCTCGGAAGCATCTTGCTAAAGAGTTAGTGACTTAGTGCTAGTAGGTTCCCAATGGGAAATTCCATTGGAACCAAGTAGCACTAAATTGGATGCCTTGGAAACAACCCTGTCAAGGAACGCTATGGACAGCGGAAACATGCAAGAGGAGGAGAGTTTTGTGTCAGAGGTCGTGGATGAGTCTCCTCTGTTATATATTTTTCATTTAAAGGAGGAAAAAGGGGACGTTGTTGTGAAAGTGGACGCCAGAAGCTTTGTTTGGTGTAGAAGGTTTACAGCTGTACATGTTTGAGCCCTTGCCTCACAACTCTGGCAGTTCTGTTAACTCTTTGCCTGCTGAAGATGTCCATCCCCATGAACAATGGGACGTAAGTCAATGGTAAAGTAAATGATTCTTATTTCAACTGTTGCGTATATTAGCTGCGATATATGAATCAAGATGCTATGACCAAAAGATTTAATTGACAGATGACCTTTGATATACAATTGGTCGAATTTAGGCGTACAAGCTGACATATAACTAACTGGCCTGCATAAAAAAAAAAAAAAAAAAAAAAAACATATTTTAAGACAGGATTTTTTTTTTTTATTCACATTTTTAAACTTCTGGGATAATATGGTCAGATAAAGAGTACATTTATAAATATGTTTAAGCCAGAATGATTGAAATTTAAATACGACTTCCCTACGACTTTAAAACCCATCAGCAGTTGAATCAGCAAGCTTATTTCATATAAAAACACCAACAAAGCTATCTATTCTACCTAGTTCACCCAAGCAAAGCACTTATTAGGCATCAGATGGCAAGGAGGGGAAGGATGAGGTTACTGTTTTGGTTCGCTGGAGTGAAGGCCTTCAGCTCGGTCCGATTTTCTGCAGGTCCCGTCTTCAGTCTAGTCAGTTTGTTCAACAGCAGCTCAAAGAGATTTGGATCAATCTGATGCAACAATAAGAAGCAATTTGCAAGAGCTTTCATTTTATAACTCCCATTTTAGCTATGGTAGTTAGCTCGTAGTCGCAGCCTGTAGCAGCTCCTCGGTGCTGCTCCGTCTCAGGCAGTCAAGGTCTAGCGGGTTCTAAAGGCTCCTTCGGCGAACACCATTTGAGTTTAACAGAGCTAGATTAGCTCTTTTCTGTCTCTGCTGCAGCAGGATTCAAGATAAACCGCATTCAACTCGGTTATAATCGCAGGAAGAATAAAAACACTGCATTCAGCTCCTTCTAAATTGCAGCAAAAAGGCAGTCTGACACGGTCCAACGAGCACAGACTTCTCAAGAGGGGTTTGGTTGCTACATAGCGCAGCCTTCAGCTGGGAGCGCTTGCCTAGCCTTTAGTGGCACAGATCCACCGGCAAAATAAGACCTTCAGAGGGGTGAGAGTTCTGGTTACATCAGGGAAATTTGATCGCAACAGATGCCCCTCTGCAAAGCTGTGTAAAACTTGCACAGTATACCACTCCCAAGAGCACTGAAGTTTTGGAATAAACATAAGGAGGAACCCTGACATAGGTGCATTCAGCCTTCTGATGTTTTGTTTAAGTGGCAAAGCAAAAATGGCAGCAAAAATTAAGGCTATTATGAGCCTTCAATGACTTAAAAAAAGAAAATATATATATTTTTTAAATCATGTTTTATGTAAAACTTGACACAGAAAGTTTCAAAGTTGACTAGCTTTTTCGCCCTCCAGAAGGTTTGTTTTTTTCCTGACATTAATAACCGTGTGAAAAGGAGGAAAGTACCCTAAGATTCTACTAACAATGCCTGATTTAAGAGTTTCATCACATACCTCAATAAGTAATAATATTTTTCAACCTGTTATTAATTTTATTCCGAAAATTATTCACTTTTTACTGTCACATAGACTTCATGTCAGCTTTGGTTTAACATCACAAAGATTTCTAAGAGCCAAAGGTGAAGTCTCTCTCAACACGCCCATACTCGTCTGTTCTCTCTTAAAGATGGTTTCCCATGCTGAAACCAGGAGTTTCACCCTCCTGTTTCTACTTATATAACCACACAAATTATTGTGACTGCATAAAGGTCAGCCTAGTACTTAAAATTTAGTTGAAAAGAGTGGATTCTATTTTCAACTTGTGCTATTTACACAGTGTGACTCAGTGTGTACAGCTGACGAAGCAAAGTAGAGGGTTTTGAGAACCATAACAATGATACACGTATTTAAAAGGTCCACTGCAGCAACCTCACATAGGTTACTGTAAGGAAACTTTATCTGGAGATAAAAATAAAGTCTGACTTTGAATTTTGAAATTGTCCAAACCATAATTACTCACTGATCATGCAAAGTCAGTCGTGAGTCAGTATCTATTAATGAACAGGCGTCCAGACAGAAGAGTTCTGCTATAAAATGGTGTACAGTTGTACTGGAAATGCCCGAAGACAGAGCCACCAGTGTAATCTTTCCTGGTTTTGTTATGCAAAGTAGGCTGCCATTTCTCAGAATTCAGGCCCATTTCTATAAAGGAAGACAAACCCTTTTTTGTTGGCAGCAACAAAAGAGAACTGTTATGCCCAAGAAAATTATACAAAACTTTACACAAATGTCGTCCTCTGAGTGAACAATAACTTCCTTATTTTGGACGAAAGAGTTCAGTAGTGTGAATATGACAACCTTTCACTCAACAGTACAACAAAACTTTTTTTTTTAACTTAGCAACTTCAAAAAGGAGTATAAGAAGAAGAAAAAAAAGCACTGCTCATGTTTCTGCATTTAAACAAAGGGACTCCATCTTAAGTTTTATTCTGGCACTGAATAAAAAAGAAGACAAAATAACAGAACAGAACCAGCTTGCATTACAAAGTGTATTTACTCTTTAATTATGTGACATGAAATATTTCAACACCTCACTTCTCTTTATGGGTTTTGAACAAAATAAACCCTAACAAAAATTAAATATTATAAAAAAAATTCCACATGAAAAGTGGTGTGTCATTTTTAAATATATAAAATGCTAAGGATGTTAGGAGTAGCTATTTTGTTAACCATTGTTTTAGAGTTTAATTAAAGCTGAAACTACAACCAATATTGTGGCATACACATTTTAACTTTAAAAATCGGTCATGATGATGATATAAAAAAAATTATGATAAAATAAATAAAATAATTGAAAAAATATTTTTTTAAAGAAAAAAAAATAGGGGCTGCTAAGTGGAACAGGGGGTAGCAAGAAGGTTCTGGGTTTGATTCCGGCATGGGGTCTTTTTGCATATTCTCCCTGAGAATGCGTGGGTTCTCTCCAGGTACTCCGGCTTCCTCCCACTGTCCAAAAACATGACTGTTAGGTTAATTGGCTTCTCTAAATTCTCCTTAGGCGTGTGTTTGTGAATGGTTGTTTGTCCTGTGTTGACCTGTAATGGACTGGTGACCTGTCCAGGTTGGACCCCGCCTCTCACCCATAGACCGCTAGAGATAGGCAGTGATGGGCAGTAGCGCCGCTACATGTAGCGAAGCTATTAGTTTAACTACATTTTCCAGTAGCTTGACCGTAGCGTCGCTGCTTTATTTATCAAGTAACTTTCCTGTAGCGACGTTATTGTTTTGATCAAGTAGCGACGTAGCGTCCACAAACGCTACAAAATCCAGGGCAAAACTTAGAAATGAAACCAGGTTTTCTATTTTGAAACAACAATCAGCCACAAGCTACTGTAAATAGCAGTTTCAGCTGACGCTCTTATAAGTGGCGTAGTAGCAGAGGCACACTCAGTAGAGTTAAACAAGCGCACCCTTTCCGAGCCTGTCGTTCTATTGGCTGGAAAGGTTGCTAGGCAACGATCCAACTGCAGTCTGAGAAAGCAAAACAAATCCGCAAGCAGAGCCTACGGGTTTGCGAGCGTAACAGAGCTCGGTTTGTGTGCGAAGAGAAGGAGGCAAGCGAGAGGAGAAAATATCTGTGCAAGAAGGATTAAATCTGAGAGAAGAAACAAAGAGAGAAGAGAAAATATTTGAGAGAGAGCGCATGTTTTGAGTGTGAGCATTATAAGTTTTGAGAGCAAGAAGATGAAATCCTTTTCTCAAATTGAAATGATGTGCTCTTGCATTATGGCAGGATAATTCTCCCATATCTATGTGCCACTAAGATACTCTAATTAGAGAGCAGTAGTGAAACTTCCATATTGTGTTTTCATGGCCTAGTTTACCTGACAGGATGTTTACATAAATCTGTTTTTAGGCTTTGCACAGACAAGATGTTTTTATTTATGGAGGAACAGCTCTACCGTATATAAAATAAATACATAAATAAATAAATGCTCAATAAATAAATAAATAAGCATTCAATTAATTGCCTCCAAAAATACAATGAATAAATATGTAGGTAGAAATTAAATTATATGGTGAGACATATATATATGTATCTCTTAAATAGCTTCTTTATTTTTTCACCTTCTTTTGTAAACAGTTTTGTTTGTTACTTGAATCAACTGTTTAATTGAGGTCTTTTGTAGGGTTTTGTTTTCCCTAGAGATGTCCATTGAATGCAAACTCATAGCCATGTCTCGGTGTGTAGAACACTACACAGTACCTTTAATTTGGTTCTAATAACAGCAGATTGTTTACTAGTTTGTCTACTAGTAATTACTTTAGTTTTTATTTTAATATGCTGATCATAAAGCAATGTTTACACTGTGATATGTCATTGGCTGATCTTTAATAAATATTTTAACTAGTGTGTCAGACTCATTTTGAATTGATATTAGGTTGGTACAACGTTAAGTAGCTTCTGATGTAGTTAAGCTACTTTTAACACATTAGTGTAACTTAGCTTGCTATAATTCTTTAGGTGGTAGCTTTTGTGTAGTGAAGCTTAATTTATTGTTGAGTAGCTGATAGCTTAGCTCACTACACTGGACAAGTAGCTTGCCCAACACTGGAGATAGGCACCAGCACCCCTCACGACCCCACTTGGGATTAAGCATGTCAGAAAGGGATGGATAAAAAAATATATAAAAAAAACAACTACAGAAAAAAGAAAATAAGAAAAAAATAAGTAAAAATATCGGTCGTGATCCAACAAATTGTTAGAACTAATTTTATTGTCGAGCATAATTTTCCAGTATGTGTTATTGAAGGATATGAACATGCATTCAGCCATTTGGTCCGCTGTGAACAGTCGTCGCCTCTGAGGTGAGGGTGGGTGTGAAAGAAGAGCCTACCTGTCCAGGTTTACGCTGAGCTCCATGCCGACCACGCACACAGCGCTAGTGGTTTGTTCACAATCTACTCGGATAGTCCTCCACTGAGCCATGTCTGCAGTCCTCTGACCTGCTAGTTTGTTCCCAGTAAATTAGAGCGGTCAGCAGGTTGGACAGAGAAGACGCGAGGGCAATGCGCGCGCGCCGCTGGCCTGACGCGGTTGGTCAGCAAATAGCCAGCCCCCCTGCTGATCCCTAATTTGTCACCTTGGATCGAACCGCGTTTAAATGTCGCTGATTGGCGTAAAGGTTTATTGACCTATTTCTTTATCTATAATAAACGTTCACATCCCCAGCCAATAACCATGGCGAGCAGACTCAGGTCTTAACAATTTTACAGAGAAGTTATAAAGGCAGAACTGATAATGCCACTTCATCTTTTTCGCTCATAAACAAGGTGTGAATTTACCTGTCCAGGTTCACCCTTAAAGTGGTTCCAACGACCAGCAGGAATTGCATCGGATCCTTGAAGTTCAGACGGCATGTTAGGTCGTTGTTTTTGGAAACTACATCAACCATTTTTTTATTTTATTTTTATTTCTTGCTACCGTGCCTAATAAACGTGAAGTTGTAAAGGGCGCTGACTCAGTTCTTATCTTCACTGTGAGCGGTAGATTTCTCGGAATTCTTTAAATACGTTTTATCAGGTAAAGGCTTGGATGCTGATTGGTTGGTGTTTTCGCAGAATTTTAACTCCAGCTCCTTAAACTTAACCCCTTCAGACCATAGAAATGAATATTAGACGCTTCACTGAGTGGGTTGGCCCGCCTCCAGGACCAAACCGCCAGGGGCGGAGCTAGATGGGGGGCCAGGAGTGGCCATGGCCATCCTTAGCCGATCATTGGCTACCCCGGTGGCCTGGCAGCAGTAACACTCTCAAGTGGAATATTCATTTACATTTTTCATATATTAATTACCATTTTTTCATGTATTCATAATTTCTTGACAACAAAAACTGTGGTTAATTATACACATCTATATACTAACATTAAACATGACAAGTACAGAATTCATGTGCTTTTCAGAACTAGATTTTGTGTTATATGGGGTAAAGAGAAAATGATGTGCATCTGCAAGCCATCTAGGAGTCTTCAGTGAAATCATAGATAAATAACAATTTTAATAAAATGCGTATTAAATAATACATTTATGTAGATATTTGTACTTGTAAATATCAATTTTATGCAGAATGATTATCGATAAAAGTAGGTAAGTAATGACAATGTAAAAGGTGTTTACCGCAGAACTAAAAACCAGAAAGTATTGTATCCACTATACCTTTTCTCTAGAAAGCATGGATGTTTAAATATATGCTAAATCTATTCGTTACCAAAGGCAGTAGGAAAGTTTAGTTTGTCTTATCTTTGGCTTGATCCTGAAGTTCTGGCTCCTATCAACTTTCGGCCACCCCTCGGCGTACAGATATATATACAGAAGAGCTATATGTGTATATATTTTATCTCTTTTTATTCTTATTTTTTTATCTTTATTATATTGTATAGTTGGATGTGTGTATATATTATATAAAACTGTAACTGGAGCGTGTAACAAAAGTAATTTCCCTCTGGGATTATTAAAGTATTTCTGATTCTGATTCTGACATTGGTTATTGCCTGGCCACCCTTATAAAAATGTTCTGGTTACACCTCTGCAAATCGCATGCAGGGCCGTTTAATTTTAATTTAAGGGCCCCAAGCAAATCCCCTAAAAATCTGAAATGTGCCGTATTGCGTCTAATATATATATATATATATATATATATATATATTGGAGCTGTCACTTTGAGAGCGTTATTGTTTTAGACTATTCAATTCAGTTTATTTCTATAGCGCCAATTCACAACACATGTCATCTCAAGGCACTTTACAGTTCACCAGATCATCCAGTCGAATTGATTCAAAGTTTTCTATCTAAGGAAAACCAGTTGATTGTATCGACTCATTGACTCTTCAGCAATCCCTCACACTAAGCATGCTTGTAGCGACAGTGGAGAGGAAAAACTACCTTTTAACAGGAAGAAACCTCCAGCAGAACCAGGCTCAGTGTGAGAGGCCATCTGCAGAGGCCGACTGGGGTTCAAGGAGACAGAAGCAGACATAGAAAAAGCATCTGTAAAAGGCGGCCCCATCCAGGAAACACACAGCCAGACAGACGAGCCCCTGAGCCAGCTCCCATGTCAGAGGAAGAAGAGAGCACATCCAGCCAGTTAAAGACAGAGAAACAGGACTACACTGGAAAACAGGTCGATCTCCAATATATATAACAAAGGTGTTTATGGCAGCAGGACAGCTGATATTTCTCTCCAGGATGGAGTCACAGCCAAGCAGGAACAGATGAGGCAAAGCTACTATGAGAAAAAGCAGAGAGAGCATAACGTTAGAGCTTGAACTAACAGATTCTGCAGATTGGGAGAATAGAGATAGAATGAAGCAGAATGATGACATTGGGATCTATAAACAAGGGTGTTGATGGCAGCAGCACAGCTGATATTTCTCTATAACGGTGACATTTTTTTTAAACGCACGTTAATGGCGCATCAAAACACACGCACCGTCCGCATGTAAGTTTATCCTATAAAAAATAAAAAGAGGCCCACGAAATCTTCAAGATTTGAAGATGTTTGTGTGGAAGAATGGGCCAAAATCACACATGAGCAATGCATCTGACTAATTTCTCCATACAGGAGGTGTCTTGAAGCTGTCATTGCCACAAAGGTTTTTGTATAATGTACTAAATAGATTTCAGTAAGTGTGATCAATATGTTTTCCCTGTGTCATTTCACCTTATTACACAACTTAATTTCTGGACATCTATGGTTTGCTTTTGTTGTATGTGTGGATTGCATGGGTTGTTACCGATATCTAACCGACATCTCAAGTGAAACCAAAAGAAGGTTTCAGTTTAGCCGATCATTATCAGATAGTGCAGTTATAAATTTTTAAAAATCTGTTTCACTTCCTCTCGCCTTTGTGTCGCTGAGCAGTGCTTCAGAGTGCAAAAGCTTAGTTTATTCCCCTTCACAGGTTGATGATTTTGTTGATGGGGTTGCTAGTTCTCTGCGTACTGCCTTAGACAGTATAGCCCCTTTGAAAATGAAAACCGTTAAAAATAGAAAGCTGGCTCCTCGGTTTAATGCAGAGCTGTACACTTTGAAGCAAGATGCTAGAAAACTGGAGAAAAAAATCACGCTCCACAGGCCTACGGGAATCCTACCTAGTCTGGAAGAATGGTTTACTGCTGTAAAAAAGGACCCTTTGTAAAACCAGAGCAGCATATTTCTCCTCATTAATAAAGGAGAATAAGAATAATCCTACAGTAGATATCTTTTTAATTCCCCGGGCGCCGCACATTGGCAGCCCACTGCCACTGGGATGGGTTAAATGTAGAGAATTCATTTCGTTCCTCTGTACTAGTGACAGTGGAATGACAATAAAGTTGAACTCTATTCTATTCTATTCTATTAATTCAGTTGCCAAACTCACCCAGAGCCATAGCTCTGTTGAACCGTCCATTCCACCTGCTCTTAGCAATAATAATTTTATGGGATTTATATAAATAAGATTGATCTTATTAGAAATAAGATCATTAGCACTCCTCTATCTACGATTGGTTTATCTCTGGAAGGTGAGGCAACATCTGAGGTAGTCATGGAATCTGAACCGGGTTTGGACTGCTTTGATCTAGTTGAACTTTTAGAGTTAGCAAAATTATTGTCTTCATCTACTCCTCCAACTTGTTTGTTAGATCCAGTTCCAACCAGGTTATTTAAGGAGTTATTCCCTTTGATTCCCTCCTCCATTTTAGATGTGATTAATCTATCTCTGTTACAGGGATATGTACCAAAGGCTCTTAAGGTTGCTGTAATTAAACTTCTGCTTAAGAAACTGTCTCTTGATACAGATGACTTGGTCAATTATAGACCTATATCCAATCTTCCTTTCTTATCTAAAATTCTTGAGAAAGTAGTTGCCAAACAAGTGTGTGATCACTTAAACCATAATGAACTTTTTGAAGAGTTTCAGTCTGGCTTTAGAGCTTATCATAGCACTGAAACAGCTCTGGTGAAAGTCACTAATGATATTTTCATGCCCTCAGGTAATGGACTTGTATCTGTGCTAATCCTATTGGATCTCAGTGCTGCATTTGATACAGTTGACCATAATATTATTTTAGAAAGACTTGAATATTTTGTTGGAATTAAAGGAACAGCACTAGACTGGTTTAAATCTTATCTATCTGATCGATTTCAGTTTGTTCACGTTAATGACAAATCTTCCTCATGCTCAAAGGTTACCTGTGGAGTACCACAGGGATCAGTGCTAGGACCGATTCTCTTTACTTTATACATGCTCCCAATCGGTAGAATTATTAGACAGCATGGGATTAATTTCCACTGTTATGCTGATGATACCCAGCTATATCTGTCTATAAATCTAGATGAAGCTAACCAATTACATAGATTACAGGCATGTCTTGAAGACATAAAAAACCTGGATGACTCTTAACTTTCTCCTTCTGAATGCAGACAAAACAGAAGTTATAGTCTTTGGACCAGAGTCTTTGAAAAATATTGATTTAGTCAATCACTTCATTTGGATGGGATTAAACTGGTTTCAGATAATAAAGTAAAAAATCTTGGTGTTGTTTTTGATCAGGACCTGTCATTTAAATCTGATACCAAAGAGGTTTCTAGAATTTCCTTCTTTCATCTGAGGAATATTGCAAAAAATAGAAATATCCTGTCCAGGGGTGATGCTGAGAAACTAGTCCATGCATTTGTTACTTCAAGGCTGGACTATTGTAATTCTTTACTATCAGGAAGTCCACAAACTGTAGTTAAAAGCCTTCAGCTGATCCAAAATGCTGCAGCCAGAGTTCTGATGAAAATTAAAAAGAGAGATCATATCTCTCCCATACTGGCTTCTCTTTATTGGCTTCCTTTTAAATCCAGAACAGAATTCAAAATCCTCCTTCTCACATATAAAGCCTTAAATGGCCAAGCTCCATCTGATATCAGAGATCTGATTGTTCCTTATGTTCCTAACAGAGCACTTCGCTCTCAATCTGCAGGTTTACTAGTGGTTCCTAGAATTTCTAAAAGTAGAATGGTAGGCAGATCTTTTAGTTATCAGGCTCCTCTCCTGTGGATCCAACTCCCAATTTCTAGTCAGTGAGGCAGACACCCTGTCTATTTATAAGGGTAGGCTTAAAACTTTCCTTTTTGATAAAGATTACATTTAGTGTGGCTCAGGTGATCCTGAGCTATCTCTATAGTTATGCTGCAATAGGCTTAGACTTCTGGAGGGCATAGAGACCCCTATTTCATCATTCTGCTTCATTCTGTCTCTATTCTCCCAATCTGCAGAATCTGTTTGTTCAATCTCTAACGTCATGCTCTCTCTGCTTTTTCTCATAGTAGCTTTGCCTCATCTGTTCCTGTTTGGATTGTGACTCCATCCTGAAGAGAAATATCAGATGTCCTCCTACCATCAACACCCTTGTTTTATATTTTGGAGATCGGCCTGTTTTTTCAGTGTAGTCCTGTTTCTCTGACTGTGACTGACTGGATGTGCCCTCTTCATCCTCTGGCATGGGAGTTGGCTCGGAGCTTGCTGCCTGGCTGTGTGTTTCCTGGACGGGGCCGCCTTTTACAGCTGCTTTTTGTATCTCTGCTTCTGTCTCCTTGAACCCCAGTCGGCCTCTGCAGATGGCCTCTCACACTGAGCCTGGTTCTGCTGGAGGTTTCTTCCTGTTAAAAGGGAGTTTTTCCTCTCCACTGTCGCTACAAGCATGCTTAGTGTGAGGGATAGCATTTGAGTCAATGAGTCAATGAAATCAACTGGTTCTCCTTAGATAGAAAACTGAATCAATTTAACTGTATAATCTGATGAATTGTAAAGTGCCCTGAGATGACATGTGCTGTGAATTGGTGCTATATAAATAGGGGGGAGTGGCTGATAAGATACCCAAATTGAATTACTGCACTCATTTATAGACCAAGACAGAATTGTACTTACTAAAAATATTATATAGGAGGGGTTTACATGTGAGTAAAGAACAAGTTTAAGAAAGGATATGAATAAAGAACAGTTATAGAATACAATATCAATAATTTCTTAATAATATAAATATTAAGGATATTCTGCCTTTGAAAAGATTGCCATGAGCGGAGATCCATCTGAGATTATATTACACAGGTCTCAGGCAATGCTGTCAGGTTGTCTGATCAGGTGTATTTATCTCCAGGAATAATAATAATAATAATTAAAGAATAGGCTATGAATCCGTTTACACAAAGGCCTTGACTGTTTTTCCCAAAGTATTTGTTCATCTTCAATGGTCACAGACATTGTTTATTACATTTTGAAAGAGTGGCAAATATATATATATATATTTCTTTCTTTTTTTTAACAGATACTTTTGTCCAAAGCGACATACAAAGTAAGCAGTAGTGTGAAGGGTAAACAACTTTGGAATATTTGATTTCCACAGGTTGATTAGTTGCTAGTGGTTCTAGCATAACTGATAAAGGTAGCGCTATGTTGAAAATGTAGGAAAAAGAAAAAATCATGTTAAGACTTCTCTTCAGAAACTGTTTGTAGACACCTGCTGATGTCTGAGTACAGGTGTTTGGTGAAATTCTACTTGCCAAAACCCTCCTTCTCTGCACACTAACACAACGCTTCGCATAGAAGGTCGTCCTTGTGATCTGTGTTTTATTCTAAACCAGCTACCATCTCCATGCAGCACATATTACTGTCAGGCAGCCAAATGTTACTGTTTCCATCTCTATTTGTAAAGTTTAAAATATATAAATAACTGTGACCTACTGTAAGCACTACATTTGCTGTTCTCTAAAAAAATGCTGACCTTTTTAAAAAGCTTGAGTTCATTGTGGTAAAACTATAAAGAAGAGGAAATGTAAGGAAGGGAGAGACACATTGAGGAATATATTTCAGTTAATTGATCCCTCGATATTTATTATGTAGTTTCCAGGTTACAACATTTATATTGCATACAAAAAAAGGGGTTTAAGACACCAAAGTAAAGATAGAGCACCCATAAGTTTATATTATATTCATTAAAGCTCTTTATAGTAAACAAAGTGGCATAGGATAACAGTAAAAACATATTAGATGAGGCAAAAATAAAAACAGAATTTAGATTTCAAAAGAAAAAGTTGACTGTTGAAAAGACTTAAGTAGATAAAGTCTGCCCTCTTGTGGCTCTATGTTGTTATTGCACATTGCTTTATGGTCCCATCAATCATCTGTCAGCCACTTAAACACTGGCAGAAAACAAAAAAAACTGCTGTGCTTAGTCCAATTATTATATTTGTTTTTTGTGAACTGTTTGCTTTAAACCCTTGTTCAAAAAAGGACTTGTTTTTAAATATTGCTTTTCATCTTTTTTTGTAAATTAAGTAAAAAAAAAAAAAAGGGTTATTAAAAATAAATATGAACACCACTAGTTCTGGAGTTATTTCTTCTGAAATGCTGATTTATTTCCTGCAAAGAATGAGAGTCTACTGATTTGAAAATATCTGATACAGGGGGAAAAAAATACTTATCTATCCTACAAAATAAAAAAAAGAGGAAATAGGTTTTTACTGCTGCACCAAAACAACATGACTCCTATTCAATGTTGACAGAAAAAACATGCTTTATAACTGTAGAAGGCCAAAATTGCCACAATCTGAATAAAGTGTCAAATAAATGCTTATTTGATTATTATACTAAAGATAATAAAAGAAATACTTAGATAAAAAGACGATCAGTGTACATAAAGATATTTAAACATTAATCATATTCTATGCTAAAATGATATACGATTATTTCAGGATCACTTCTTTCTATTTTAACAGTGTTAGCCACCTGATGAAGTGATACAGAGCTGGATAATTCAAACTCTGGATTGGGGGGGGGGGGGGGGGGGGGGGCAATTAACCTGTTTGTCCCCACCTGTCGGCGTGTGTAATAGGAGCATTTGATTTATTTAAGCATGCATGTCCAGTTAATTAATCACAAATATAATGGGAACACCTTTGTTTACTGATATGTGGTACTTTTTAATCTCTTGGTGATGATTTTAGAAAATTATCTTTCAGGTCGTCCTTGGCAGCAGTTGGTGCCTAACTGAGGATTAAGTGATTGCATTCATATTCATGGTTTTTAGCTTTAATGACAAAACTACCTTTGCTCTGATTGTAAATTCTATTTCCACAAGATAGAAACAAACATGCTGTTCAGCCTGGATGATTACTAAGCACTCCTTTTATGCCACACCAGGTTTACTGCAGTGCAAGTGTTGCAAAGGGTTCAGCCCCTGGAAATATGAAGAATTCAAGTGGTAGAAACGGGGAATTGCTTTTCAGTTACATCTAATTATAATTCAAAAAAGGCTTTGCTCTGACATAAAACAGCATTTTCTGTACCTATAACTACCGAAACAACTTTAACTAAATCCCAAAAGAATGTAGACCTGGATTTTCTTAGCTTCAGTGTTTCATTCACAGCTCAACATTCCACCATTTGAAATCAAACGGCTTTCTACGGACGTTGGAGCCGCAGTGCACCTCTCCCATTTTGTGGTAGGAGGGAAGGTCCTCAATGAACGTGCAGGTTAGACCCAGGCCCTCCATCAGGGAGCACATTTTGGCCTCCAGGACACAGCGGCCGTTCACCTTGGGGCCAAACGGCTTCGGAATGCCAAGATGTTTCCCCAAGACAATCATGTTGACCTGGAAATCAATTTTAACATGAAGCCATTGAATTAGTTCAAATTTGTAGTGCTGTAAAAAAGATGTACCAACAGGTTTCATTATTTTAGCTTTCCTCTGTTTTCCACTGATTTATCATGTATAAATGTTTTCTAAAAAAAACTATGCATTTTGAAAAATAATTTGAAAAATATAATTTTCAATTATTCTAATTTTTTTTCTAAGAGTAAAACACACTAAGCTAGCCTAATGTAAAACTATAAATATTATGCTTTTTAAACCACAAACTAAAAAGTTTAACGCGTATTTTTAAAAATAATAGGTCGTTGTCATTTACCAGCCCAGGAGTTACAAACACAACTGTAAAATAGAAAAAAAAAGTCTAAGAATAGAACAGTAATGGGGAGTTATCAAAGTGATAACCTGTAGGGCAAGAACATTTCTGTTTTCATAGGGCAATGTTTGTTCGGATTTTTTATGTTTTTATTTATTTCTTTATTTTTTTACCGGAAATAAATTCCCTCAAAAGTTAAAAACTAAATAAATCTGTAAAAGGTCAAATACTTATAACAATACTTAACTTCCATCTTCTTTGCATCTTAACTAAAAAGCCAAAGGAAGAATTAAAACAAACCATATTAGGGTAGTAGGCCACTGCTCTTTCATCATTATCCTTAGTCACCAGCTTGAAAAGGATTGGCAGGTCAATAATATCCTCCTCATCCAGGCCCAGCTCTTTCTTCAGCACATCCCTGTTCCAGTCAATGCAGTCCTGTTACAGACCGGTGGGAAAAAGACACTAAAGTTGATGAACTTTAGGGAGCATAATAAGCAGATGTCAAAGGTTTAACAGCCTTCTAAGACATCCAAGTAGAAACCATTGAAGGAAAAGTCAACTTTTAAAAGTACTTCAAATATAAAATTATTAGATAATTTAAATAAATGTAATTTTCATTTGTATGTGCTTTACTATGGGCATCCATGTTCATCAAAGAACACTACTGCCACCTACTGGTTTGTGACGTAACGGTGCGGTATCGGCTGCTGATTAAGTCCCAATGCTCTATCGGTGTTTGTCGATAGGCGCTATTATCATCTTGTCATCTTGAAAACATTCTTCGAAATGTTGGATACATATTGTTTTTTCTCCTGCCAGAATTTCGATGGTAAATCCTCCCTCCTCAAGAACGACAAACCCGTGGAGGATCATGAATTAGAAAGGTAAAATAACTCTTTTTTTTACTTTTACCCGTTGTATTACAACATCCAACTGCCATGCACGTGGGCATTGTCACTTAAACTATAGTGCTCACGAATTTCAATGCTGAAGTCCTCTTGAAATCTAATATAATTGTTGTTGATTGCAGGTGTGTATGATAGTTTGTATAGATTTTGCTTGTAAAGTGGGGAGAATGGTCCTAGGCTTACCGCACCGTGACGTTAATTACATTTTTATACTGATTAACGCTAAATTCATTAAATCCCTGTGACTGTATTAGTTTTAGCTTTAGATAATGATCCATTTATTATTCTTTGCTGACTGGACTTTTCCTTTCATTTCAAAACAGAAGTTGTTAGTGATGCTCAATATCAGGTTTAAATGTTTCAATATCAGTGTAATTAATTCTTGGTTTATACACATGTTACTGTCAACATGATTAACATAGCATATAATGACTTAAAATTATAGGTAACTAAGAGGTGGATTTAAATCAACTCCAAACGGCTCCATCCATACTGCCCTCTTGTCCTTTTAAACGAGACCACATGGGGCGGTATGGAGTGTTGCTAGAATAAACCACTGCATGAAAAGTGGGATTTTCGTCAATATGCGGCACTATAGATTGTCGTGGAACTTCAGGTTAGCGGCAGTTTACGGCAATTTGCAGGCTTCGCCGAAAACTCCCGTAAATTGTCAGAAATTGACGTGGACTTTGTTAGGCAGTGTTCCCCCCATGCCTCCCCCCCATGGAATTCTAGGGGAGGCTTTAACATGTAAATGAACATGCTGTGAGCTATACAAATGCAAATCAGGGTTGCAGGGGGGGTTTTACTCCAAGTGACATTTTTCTAAAAGGTAAGAAAATCTCTGATACAAAGAGATCAGGCTCAGTATAGCCTCTTACATTTTAGCTTGAATTGATTTATTTAATTAAAGTATAGAGACCAAAACAGATCTTTAGCTGACAGAGCAATACATTTAGAGCAGTAATTATAAAAAAAAAAAAAAATTGCATTTAAGATAAAAAATAAAATGTTGTCGGTCAATATGCTCAATTCACAATTACTGAAGTGGAAAAGTTTCAAGAAATGAGTCTGAGATGATTCACTTTATAACATGACGCATTATCCTGTTGGAAGTAGCCATCAGAAGATTGGTACACTGTGGTCATAAGGTCCGGCCAGGTCAAGATCCGCAATTGCAATCGCACCAAACAGGAAAAAGAACATGGACAAATTCCGGTTCGTCAAATTAAAATATAGCAGCAACAGATCGGTGACTAGAAATTATAGCACAATTCTTATATATAAAAAAAAAAACTAACACCGTTTATTTAAATGATTGGATCCAAACTATTGGTTATTCACCAACGAGGAAGCAGATTTCTCATCTCCATCAAAATATTTATTTTATACCGAGGGACTTAAACTTTAATCAAATCCATTCAAAAGACACTTCTTATTACAGGAATGAAAAGAGATGCTGAGTTTGGAAGTAGCGAACAAGTTCATTCAAAAAAAGCAGTTTTGAATTATCCTTATCCCCGTTACAAAAATCTACAAAAATCTCTATATATATTTGGGCAGAAACTGAACATATGCTGGATGATGGTGGGATTTTTTTAATATTTCATATTAAATTAAGCGCTCACAGGGTTCATACAGGAATGAGTGACTCTAATTTAATGCTATTTTAATGCTATTAGAAATGATTTTAATGCCATCAACAAGAACCATGTACACAAGTTATTAGTGTACATGAAATATGAAGGAGCTGCAAGCAGAGTTCCATGACTCCTGTATGTATGTAAACACACACACACACACATATATACATATATATATATATATCTTCTAGCTTTTTCTCTGCCTCGAGCTTCCTTTCCGAACATACGGCTTTATGATCAGTTCCACACAAATCAATAGCGTTATAATATATCTGACGAAATTGTTTTTATAAGCATTTTTATTAAAGAATTATAAATACTTCGATAAACATATTTAAATAATTTTAGTGCCAATTAAGGCCTTGATAAAAAAAAAATGAATGAATTGTAATTATTTTTAATGATCCGCAGAAACCCTGGTTCATCTCGCGCATGCCCTCTACGATCTCCAAGGAACTCAGAGCGGAGCGGACGTGAGCCACAGCGCAGGCTGTAGGCTTTGCTTTGAGCAGGCGGTCTGGAGCGCAGCGGAGCGGAGCGCTGACGGAGTATGTGGGATTTCGGGGTAAGGTGTGGCATACAGAGCCATCAGTAGGTTAAAATATCCACCCCATAATCAAAAACATGTTAAATCTGATATAAATGTACCACTGTTTATGTTCAAATTGTGGTGGATTTATTTTCTAATAAGTACAGGTGATTTTGTTATTTTTAAATTAGTTATTGAACAGAAGTCACTGTCGACCCCTGACCAGCAGAGGGCGCGTTCGCCACACTGTGTGTTCTCGGTCATTCAGAGAATGAGGACACGTATAAACTGTGAAGCTGATATACGTGTGTGGCGAACTCTGATTCTAATATCAACATTTTTGGCTCTTTGCAGGTAAGAAGGGAGGGTGGAAACTGTGAGTTGATTTGCGAATATGTCCGACGTGAGTTAATGATCTCAGCTGATTTGTGGCGTTGTTGTTGATATTGTTCAGCCAACTGAAAGAAGTTAGCTTATAGTTAGCTTGGGTTGCTAGCTACCGTGAGTGAGCGCGAGGCTGGAGAGGAAACAATAACTCTCTGCTCGGGAGTAGTTTGTCAAGCTGAGTAAATATTCTAAAGTAAGACATGATTGATCTAATTAACAGATATCTGAATCAGTTTACAATGTTTGTTAAATATGATTGGTTGACTGTATTTGAGAAAATATGCTATAGAAGGATAAACTTTTGTTTAATATTAGCTGAGAACATGATTTATTGTTTATATTTTGGTGCAGAAGTTTATGATTTTTCTGATTATAATAGATGGTAAGGATATGATTCATTGTTTATATTTTGTTGCAGAAGTTCATGATTTTTCTGTGTTTAGAATATATGCAGAAGTTATGGTTTATTGTGAATATGTTGGTGGAGAAGATCAAAATGACACTGTGTGTTCTCGGTCATTCAGAGAATGAGGACACGTATAAACTGTGAAGCTGATATACGTGTGTGGCGAACTCTGATTCTAATATCAACATTTTTGGCTCTTTGCAGAAGAAAAATAAAGCGGAATTTCAAATTAAATGTGTAGTGGAGACAGCTTCATTCTGTACCACGCTACAAAGGCAGGGTGCCAATATTTCTGTTTACCGTAAGTTTAAAGCTAAATAAGTCTGCAAGTCTACCTATTATACAATGCTTCATAGAAAAAGGGTACAATAAACATCCCTAACTGCATGGATTCAGCGTGTCGAACAGATCCCTGCTCTCCTCTCCGTGACTAATTTTTGGATGATAGTCGCTTGCACCCATTAATGTCCCGTATTAAACCAACATAAAAGTAGATGTGCACCTGCACATTTTGATTTTGAAAATGGAGCCTGTCGTTATCCACGATACGATCCACTGTCACTGGCTCCTCATCTTTCAAACCTTTAGGATAATTTGCACTTTTAAGTTCTGTTAATTCCAAGTATAACTGATTTTTTTAAGTATGCAGTATAAACACACCAAATGTACCTTCAAAGATTTTGGCTTGTCCATGCCCATCATTCTTAAGTTCTTGGAATATTTTGTAGCCAGCGTGTGGGCTGGCCAGCAGCAGTCGAAAGCCCTGTACGCAGGTGTACAAGAGACAAAGAAAATTAGAGCTTGATTTTCAGAGAGCTCCTACAATCCCTTGATAGAACTAAGGGCATGGCAGCATCAACCAGTAATGTTGGGAGATAAAGGAAGAACCTGAAACCTAAAACTAGGCAGACATCACATCTTATGGATCTGAATACAGTGGGAGCCAATGTGAGTTTCATTCACCATGAAGCTTAAAAAGCCACATTACACAGCTGTATTTAAACAACTATCAAACATCCAAACATGGGAACAATTGAAATGTAATCCTTCATCCCATCAAAGTTTCATATACCTCTAGAAATGATGCTAAAACGTACAACTTTTCTGAGTATGAAGCAATTTATATTTTCTCTGGTTATCCATAAGATATAATTTCATCTTTGTTGTTTTTAACTACCTTTCTGTCAGGAGCAGGAACAAAAGTCATGAATTGATCGATGTGGCTGATGACGAGCCAATCAGCATACAAGGCCACAGGTTCCTGAACCTTCTGAGCCCACAAGAAGTCTTGAACGGCTCTGGTCATGTTTTCTCCCTTTGTGTTCCTTAGAGAAAGGAAAGAACAACAGAATATTGACACATAGGCTGTGTCCGAACATACACCCTAAATCGCTCAATCCCTATATAGAGCGGGGACTATATAGTGGACTTTAATTTGAACTCAGTTATATTAGCCAGTATAATAATAATTATAATAATTTGCCTGTTGATCACGTGTAAACTTGTCTCCTTGTATTCCAGCCAGATGAACCATTTGTTTACAAATCCATTTTTTCCACGATGCACAGCCACAGTGTTAACAATGACTCCGCCACAGCAGTCAAAAACTTGTATGCCCTTCTGGATTCAACACCTATCAACTACCTGTCACCTCTTGGTTTATATACTGGAAGCAAGAGCCCCATCTATTGACCAAAAAAACTAAAATAGACATATTTGAGTCTAATATCAGTTAACTGACTCATCTATGATCACTACTTTTTGTTTCCCATTGTCACTGGACCTCAGCTCCCAGCAGGTGCCTGCCTCTTTGTTCTCTCTCCCCCAAACCAGATCCCATGATGCTTTGCGAGGAGAGTTCTTTAAAGCGTTCTGAGACATATCTCCTCATCTAGTGACCTTGGTTGTAAACTTTCAGGTACATTGTGGGAAATTTTGAGTCCACTATTTTTTCTACTACTAGACATTCGGACATTCATATAAAAAAGTGAACGTTCGGACACAGCCATACACTTTGATTTTTTTTTTTTTTTACAGTTTATGTGGATGCAGAAGATGTTACTGATAATTCTGTACTCTAACATTTATGTTAAAAAAAATACTGTTTAAGCTGGAGATCTTAGTATACATGCTACATTATCAGATGCATAGAAAAGCAATTTAAAACACAAGGACGATAATGAACAGTTTAAAAAGGCAATAAAGATCAGCTTGAAATCATATGAAAAGAAGTCTGACCCCTGGAATCAAAATAAAATGAGAAATAATCAAACCTTTGTTCTTTTTCATTTCTACTTAACGGGTATAAACTCTTCTGGGATCCTGTTACTTACTTTGGGAAGGCAACCCCAATGAGCATTCTGCCCAGAGGGTATTTTTTCCCATTCACCGTCACAGGAGGGCTGACCTTCAGGTTACAGAAGGAGTCCAGACTGCTAACAGCATCTCTGTCAGCATCTCTTTTCACATAACCAAAGTCAGGCCCCTGAAGATAGAAAAATACATATAATAATAAAGATCTGTTCTACAGTTGCAAGGGGTTATAAAGCACAAAATCTAAAAATAGAAATATAATTTATTGTCCTTCACAGGGGCATTTAGGACCAAAATACAGCCCAGTTATTAAAAATAGTAAGATTGGGTTTTTAGATTTTTACAACAAAGTAGAATAATCTAACAGCTGAACAAGCTGTGCTAGTATTTATTTGTAGAGAGACACCAATCAATTTCTTTCCCCATGTGAGTGAAGGCTTTAGCCTTGACATAAAAAGTAACAAATGAACATAGATATAAATGTACTTTACATCATTAATTAACAAATACTGTTACGACCTGGCTCGACTGGTCCCAACAAAAACTGGGGGACACGGAAACAGGCAGTGCGTTAAGCCTGTAAAAGGCATTTATTTAGCAGAATCAAAGAATGAACTATGTGCCGGCATCAGACGGCAGCTCGGATGGGGCGATCACGCCTGGTCCCTCCACACCAGGAAGCCTGGACCCCAACCTGGTCTGGACTGGACTGGATGGCTGTCTGCGGCGTGCTTGCTTCAACCAGGAGACTCGCCTCTCAAGCAGGGAACACCAACAAATACCAACCAGGTGGCCGCATAATGGAAGCACCTCCCAATTAGAGGACCTCAATTGATATTGTTAATTTAGGCAGTTTACACATATGCTCACCCCCGACCGCACAGCAGGACCGTCACAAATACAAAAAGAAAAATAATCCAAAAAAAAATAATAACAGGTCCTTATAAAGTGCACTGGATTGGATCTCTGAAATCAAATTACTAAAACCGATCCAGCTAATTAGACAATATCGCAGCCGATATCTGAACCAGGTATCAGATCAGTGCATCAGTAATGATTTGTAAACTAAATTACAAAAAAGACCAATTATGTGTCAATTTTTGTGTCAGTGAAACTTCTAAGATGTATTCAAGCTCCAGAAGGGGCAGCATTTGATGTAAACAGACTTGCTGCAGCCTTTGAAACTCTCAAAGTGTAACTGGGTAATCTCTCTAAACATTTTACAGCAAGCCTGCTTGCTCAAACTCCTTTTGATGGAGTGCAAAAGTGTATGGTAATCACACACTTTAAAGTCCTTTCTACTTTTGGTCATTGACTCGCACATTTTACACTTTTAAATATAATTGGAAATTTATGCAAATACAAAAAGCAGTTTTCTTACCAGCCAGTAGTAATCACTTATTTCCAAGAACCCATTTACAGGCCAACCACTTGCATATGTTAAACTGTCTACTGATAAATTATGATGTTCATAGCAGTAAACAGAAAACATTTTTTTTGATGCTGTAAAGACCTATTAGTTGAAATCAAACATTTGATCGCAAAGGAAAACGAAGACTCTTACCACGATACCATGATAGGGATAATCATCAGGTTTTTCATCTCTAGGTGAATCCAGAACAACAGGAAACCTGTGATAGGGCGAATCAACGTAGCCTAATTCTATCTCATCCTGAAAAACACACATTATATTTTCCATCTCATATTCCAGTTGTTCTCAGGTGATTGGTTCAAATCTTTTTTATGAAAATCCTATAAAAACAACGTATTAATTATGTCAAAAAACAATCTTTAGAATAAAGGTTCATTAGATTTCCTGACTTGAATCCAGCGGTCTCCTCTGTTCCTGCGTTTTTCGACGGTCTTCAGCTGGTGTCCGCTCCTGTCAACAAGGTCCTTAATTTCTTTGAGGAACGCGTTATCAGATGTACTGCAATCACAAGCAGACATGTATTTTTGGTAAAATATATTTTTCTTTTTTTACATCATCTCAAAATGTTGTAGCCGTTGATTATTGGATATGATTTTTTCTTTTTTAATGGAAGAAACTGAGTCTTATCAATTTAAAGTTTTAGTTTTCTGAAAAAGCTGAAATGAGATAAGCAAACAGTCAAACTTCTTAACAAAGAGGAAGGACGACTTAACCCAAGCTACTGACAAGCATCTTTATCATTCATTAGTTCTCTCTAACCTGCAGACAAACACCTCCTCAGGCTCGAGGGTGTTGGGCGTCATGATCCATGGCGAAACTCTAAACACCACTTTGTCTGTGAAAACAGGCATGTCAGGACCGTCCTTAAAAAAGAAAAAAAGGGGGATGAGTACGCTGCTATCTTCTGTAATTGAATATGAGATGACAAAAGCAAGAAAAATGATACATCGTTAAAAGATTTGTCACAAAAATGCTAAATAAATAAGTATAAGGTCTTTATTTTGACAGCTCAAAATAAAGTCTGGTATCAAATGTGATCTAAGTATAAATGCAGCCGCTTCATGAAGTGGTTTGTTAGGGACCATCAGTAAAGTCATATTCAGGCATTTGCCAAAAAAAAAAGAAAAATCACTGTACTGTACATAATTTTCATTCCACTTTGTAAAATTACTGGATGTATGAATTTATCATGTAAAATCTATATAAGACATTGTTTTTTTTTAGCCATTCTCAAAAAATCTCCAGGACAAACAATACATTTGGAAAGTGGTTATAATAAAAAGCTTAGTGTGATATGCTGTTTTGAAGGTCTTACCTGACCTAACCTCCTCACTAAGCTGAGGTTGATGGTTACGAGTCAGTCAAAATCCTTGTCAGGAAACCTCAGGCCCTCCACATAAAATTTGAGTTGAGGAGCGCGTTCAAGTTGAGGAAGTTCCTGAGACAGCACCTCGCTGCTCAGGACCAGTGGATAATCATATGTATATTTTCTAATAAATTCAGCTGTGGATGCATAAAGATAAATAAGAACAATTAGTTTCTTTTTTTTTTAAACATACATAAACACACACAAAACCTTTGTCTATCAAGTGATTTAAAGCTACAGTATGTATTTTTTAGTGACCTCTAATGGACAGCCATGACCCCGCCCCCACACCAATAATACGGACGCTGTCATAGCACAAAATGGCATCAGTAACGTCCGCACATTCCATATTGGCAAACTATGATGAGGTTTGTTTAAACAGATAATTTTATGAATAATATTTTATTAGTCGTGCAGGATATAGATTTTATACAGGCCTAACTTGCCTCAGTCATATTTTGAGTATACTGGCGATTTCTACAGTCACTATTTTGTCAGTTCTGTGCTTCTGTGGTGCAAACATGTCTTCTTTCATTAACGGGAGGCCTCCTCCTGTGTTATTATAAAAAGCAATTTCAAATGCAACACAAATATAAAGATTGGGTCTTTTCTTTAAATAATATACTCATGTATAATATATAATGTTAAATTCAAAAATACCTTACCAATCCCAGAGGGAACTTAAATGTTGCAGTAATTCATAGGGTTGTTTTGTTTATTAATTGTTGTAGGTACTGATAGCTGTAGATAGCCATACATTTCTGTCAGTAAATCCCTGTAATTAGTACACACTGTAGCTTTAAATAAACTGAAAAACATTATGCGACCATAAAGGTGCGTTCACACCGAATACAACACCTGGAAACATTTCACCAGTTTCACCTGCCTTTGCTCACCTTGAAATTTGAATAGCCAGCGAAAGCAGATCACACAGCAGGTGAAAGGCTCCTACGTTATGAAGTCTACTGGTTGCTAGTTTCACCTCAATATGGAGGACATGGATTTACAAGGAGTGCGCAGTTCTTTTTTAATTTTGAAAGCCAAACAAAGCTTTGGGGGTCCCTGGGTTCACAGAATTTCCAGGGATGGAAGCAGTACTGGGAATACCATCAGCTTCTAGAGGGGCTATATCTGGATGATGGTCACTTTCAGTGGTAGTTCCGCCTCTCCGTGACCCAATTCTAGGCCCTGCTGACCCGGGGTCAAATGACCCAGACAACAGAGGGGAGGTGAGACAGCGGTTTGCCGGTGCTAGGTCCAGGAGAGAGAGCAGAAGCTAGATTGGAGAAGCATTGTCGCTACCCGATTCGTCCCGGAAGCACGATCCATACCATCTGCTTATTTGCGCATCCGCAACCAGAAATACATCCAGGTTTCATATTTCATGAAATCATGGAACTAAATTTTATTATTTCCATTCCCTAACTCACTAAAGAACACTAATACATACCTTTAAAAAAAGGTCTGAGACAATTTTGATGCTTTTTACATTTTTCCTGTTAAACCGCTCGTGTGACGTCATCATCGGACATTGTCTGAGAAGTCAGGCTAAAAATTCATGTTCAGTGTGAATGCACCTTTAGACAACTGTTGAATTGCATCCAACTTACATATGTTGGATTTTTTATTATTTTTTTAAATACCCTAATTTTACTTACGAGCTTTGGACTTAGTAATGTAGTCCTCGTCCTCGGTCTCATCTCGGTAGACTCGAATATACTCTGAATCTCTCTCAGAGATATGCATGACAAGTTTGTAACGCGCAACGGTGGTGGGCCTCATCAGGGACGACAACGACCGGGACTACAGAGAGGAGGTGGAGCAGCTGGTGGACTGGTGCAGTGAAAACAGTCTGATCCTGAACGTGGAGAAGACGAAGGAGATCATCGTCGACTTCAGGAAAAACCGCCCCCACCATGCTCCACTGCTCATCAACAGCTCAGCTGTGGAGGTGGTCAGCAGCACAAAGTTCCTGGGGGTGCACATCACGGACAACCTCACCTGGACTGTAAACACTTCATCTCTAGTGAAGAGGGCACAGAAGCGCTTGTACTTTCTGCGGAGGATGAGGAGAGCCCGCCTGCCCCCGCCCATCCTCACAACCTTCTACAGAAGCACCATAGAGAGCGTTCTGACCAGCTGTCTCTCTCTGTGGTGTGGAGGCTGCAGAGCTTCTGACTGGAAGAATGTGAGGAGGGTGGTGAGGACAGCGGAAGGAATCATTGGGGCTCCTCTTCCCTCCATTAAGGACATTTCATCACAGCGCTGTGTGTCCCGAGCCCGTAATATCATCAAAGACCCCTCACACCCCCACCATGGACTGTTCTCCCTGCTGCCCTCTGGAAAGAGGTTCCGCAGCATCCGCTGCAGATCCACCAGGTTGTGCAACAGCTTCTTCCCCACTGCCATCAGACTGTTGAACCTTTGATCCACAATCCGAACTCTGCACCTATTGCACATTATCGGGCATCAAATGCTGCTGAACTTTTTAACTTTTAGCCCTTTAAATTGTTCATCTCATTGTATTTTTCAATAACGCATTTTTTGCACAAATGCCATTTTGCACTGAACCACTGCAACTTGCACACTGTCTCTTATCCTCTGCACTGTTCACACTTTGACCACTGCTGCACTTTTTGTATTTTTCTATAACTCGTGCCATTTGAAATATCAATGCAACGTTCATAAGCTGTATGTAACGCAATTTCGTTCTGTATGCACCCTGTGCATACAAAATGACAAATAAAGAAGTCTAAGTCTAAGTCTAACGAGTAACTCAGGGCCGTTGATCCGCAGAAGCATGGTTGCACAGTCCTTAAGAGCTAGAAAAACATAAGAAATTACATTGGCACAAACTGTTTAAAATATACCTCTTCCTCAAATGTTGAAGGAGCTTTACACTCATGGGTCTGAGACTACGATTTTTTTTTGGCCAATTAAGTGACATGTAGTCATCTTTCAGAAACAATCATTTAGCAATGCACTGGCTCAGATTATAATTCCACAGTCATATACAGTATGGGATCCAAAATAAAGTAACAGCTAATCAGGAGTACTTAGGTAAGCTGAGTTTGGTCTTACTTTCTCTGTCACAAACTGTCTGCTAACCTTCAATATTGCCATTGCTACTATATTCTGACAATTTAGAACCTAACAATATGTCATTTCTAAATATGTTACACTAATAATGCATTCTGGTAGAGAAAAATTATACAAGGAAATTAATGCTTTCTAAAATGTCCAAATTCATAGTAAAATTCTAAATTATGATTATATTTAAGCTTAAAGCAAAACCATAACCATACATATCAGTTTAAACTTTTAATCCATTTATAATACTAAGAAATGGATACAAAAATTAAGACAAAGGGACAGAAGCCTGTTTGCTGATGTGAAGAAGCTCAGCTCATAATGCAAAATGCAGATTTCCCCTAAAAGTTAACACAAAATGTTTTTATATTTTCAAAACTATTTGGCTCTTGTCAGTAGTGATTTTATACACAATGCAAATCAAAGAAATTGTAACATTTCATTCAAATTTGGAATCCTTAAAAAAACACAGATGCAAAAGAAAAAGTAATTGTCATGCAGTTTGGAATAAAAAAAAAGAAGTGAAATTTGGTGCTCAGCACTGATCTGCTTACTTCTATGATCTTGTTTCTCGTCTTTGAGTTGACAGTCTGGTTTTCGATAGTATACATAATGTTCTCTGTCACAGTTTACCAAAACCACAGCTCCATGCCCATCAGGACCCCATTTCCAGGAAGCCTAAGAGATTTTCAACATGAAAAATGGAATAAATGTCTTCATAAATCTCTTCAAATTCACATTATATTTTTTCATTTTTTAAACAGTAAGAATCTGTGTTATACAAGAACAAGAACAAGTGTTACCTTTAGAGAACTGGGAAATTAAAACTTGCTTTTTCTGGGAAAAGCTCAAACTGTGTGCCAAGTTCCTTTCAAAAGATGCCAACCGTAGAACTCAAAACAAATTCTAGCTTTTCTATACAGAAAAGAGTCATGATCCCCAAAAAGGGAGGAATTTGACAAACTTGTATAAATTATCATTTATTTCATCCACCTGTTTCCTTGGCTTTATATTCAGTTCAGTCTGAGCATTCGGGGCCAGATCATTATTTGTTTTCTGTTTGTTTTTCTGTTTCATGGTTCCTAGCAGTCGGTGGAAAGAGAGGATTTTGTGTCTCTTATGTCTTCTGATCGTGTCCTGTTCTTTCCCGTGGAGTCCTCAGGGTTTTGGCTCGGAACGTAAAGGGGATCAGTTTTATCCCTATAAAGGCTGATTTAAGGCTGATTTATACTTTCAAACTGGGTCGTCTGCGTAGGTGTCGCAGTGAACAAAACATCGGTTCTTTTATGGTACCGACCGAAATGCTTCGGTTCTACAAAGTATCGAAACATGCCTCGTCTTTGGGTGTTGAGTTTCGGTGATTGGCTGTAACACTTAACGTGATTCCGTCATCCAGGAAAAATACACAGGTGGTCACGCCTACAGCCAGGGTTCATGTGTATCTGTTGTGAACTGGTTGTGAGCGTCGTGGAACCCCTTTAAAATGCCCCCCAGGTCAAAAGAGTGGCTTCACTTTATTAAGACTGATGCCAATAGTGCGCAATGCAATACATCGTGCACGGAAACAATTTAAGAGCAGAAAGTTGCTCGGTGTTTGACTGCAAGAAGAGCGGACCGCAGCTGGCGCAACAATCCTACCTTCAGCAGCCCGTGGGCAGAGCAAAGCCAGAGCGGAGTTAATCATGCTGCTTTCACACCAAACGCAGCAAGAGCAGCAAAATCGCATCTGCTGCTTCCTTTTTGGTGCTTGTACCAGCTTCTGACGCGCGGCTGAAAAAGATTTGCTGCTCTGGCTCTCTGACGCGCGTTGGGTGGAGCTACTCTATCCTTTATTTGCCTTGCAGCTAAATTTGCTGTGATCAGTGGGAATAAAGTAGTTTTATTATGTTTTTAAGTGGGAAAATCCACCTGAAAACTTAATCAGTCCAGTCAATTCATCCAGATTACCATCCTGCCTTCCAAAATTATTTCTGTCGGAGCCGCTCAGACACCCACATACCAGCGGTGCGCTGTCAGTAGGATTCCCTTTCAACTGGCTTGTTTGTCTCCTGAGAAAGCAGACATGTTAATTTTTCTAAAGAAAAACTGTTAAGTAAAAAGGTCCTCACAATGTAACAGTAAAGTACACTGACTTGTTTGCAACTGTTCTTCTTCACTGAAAAAATTTTTTTTATGTAAGAGGAAAAATGTAAATGGAAAAATCAGAGCTTAAAATAAAACTCAAGATTTGTACTTTATTATGTTGTGTAATTTTCTTTTTCTTCGAATTGATATTATAAAACTGGTATCGAAAAAAGTATCGTTCAGGAACCGGTATCGAAGTGAAGGTATCGGTATTGGTACCGGCACAGAAAATTTTTGAACAATACCCAGCCCTACTCATGTCCCTCTGTTGTCGGACAAACTCGCCCCCACTACCTCACCGCCTCGGCCGTATCTAGACCCACAGCATATAGTGCAGTCCACACTCAAAATTGAGCATAAATCAAAAATGCCTGCGTCAAGCTCACTGCGACACGCTGCTGCAGGGAGTATAACCCACCCTTTATACTTCGAAACCAGGACGTCTGCGTAGGTGTCACAGTGAACAAAAAAGACATCCAGCTAGAAGAGCGAGGTGCGCGAGAGAACGCTGGGACCCTTTTTCCACCTGGATCCCCGCTCTTTTTTACCGTCATGTTCCTCCATTGTCGGACAAACTTGCCCTCACTTCCTCGGCCATATTTAGACCCATAGCGTATAGCGCAGACCACGCTTCAATATTGAGTATAAATCAAAACTGTCTGTGTCAAGCTCACTGCGACACACTGCTGCAGGAGTATAACCAGCCCTTAAGCCTGGCTCCAAGAAGGAGACCAGTTTAAAGTTCTTCTCATCCTGGTTAAACATCATGTCTCTGTCTCAACCACCAAGTCTGCCGTCTGCATCTGAGCCTGTTCTGCATCTATGCGTGTCCACCTGGTCACTCTTCTGGACTCATTCTGAGTCTGGATTCTGTACCTTTCTGAGTGCTCTGAGGATTCCTGGAAGCCCAGATCACTCCATTCCTGTTGGCGTCGGAAACTCTGATCATGTGGAGGTCATCGGGATTTCATGAACTGTTCCTGCCTGTTCTGATCAGCTTCCTGTAAGTCCTCAGGGGCTGTGCACCGGGGACACCCTGGGTGACGTGTGCTGCATCAGTTGGCAGTCCAGCGGCTGGATTGCGCCTCTTTCAGGGATTGGACTGAACTGTTAAACCAGATAAGTGACTCGCTCTGATAATCATCTCCTGTCAGATGATCGTGGTCACTTACTTGTGTTTCTCCCACAACCAGAGTTTCTGAGAACCGGCGGTGCTCTGCGCCCCTCCTGCAGTCACTGTGAGCCTTCAGCTCCTCACCCCTGTGCCTTTGTCCTGTCCTGTTCTGTCTGTTTTTTTATTAAACGTTTTAAACTTTCCTACTGGCTGTCTCACCTTGAATACTGGGTCCATCTGTCCCGTATCATGACAGTGGCTCCATGTACAGGTCAGCCTATTGGGCAGATACCGTTATTTCTGTGGGGACTCTTTATAACATCACTCGTTTTAAAAATACACTTGTTTTGCATTCTGACAACACCAGCCATAAGAGCAACTTAATGAAAGTTAACCAAAATTAAACACAGTTTTAGCTAGCAAAAATAACCGCAGTAAATACAACAACGTAGTTGGAACAGATGTACTATAAACTGTATCCAGGGTAGGCCATATGGGGGAAATGGTACAGCTTAGACCTAATGTTAGCACCAACAGCTCTGTAACACACAATATCAGGAAACCTCTTTCAAGCATTTTGGTTAGAAACACTTGACACCAAACAAAAAACTCCACAGTCTTTATTTCCAAGTCTGACACTTGAGAGCAACACCAGGTGAGACCATTGTATCCTTCAATATCCACTCTCCCTTACGAGCATTCCTACATCAAAAGTAACGAAGACCATCAAAACTCAACTGGAATATGACAAACCTCTAAAGAAAAGGACAAATTTAACAGCCGACCAGAGTTGTGACCCATTTTTAAGCACAGAGACATTTACAGACAGAAACATGGGTGTGTCCATTAAGCTGATTCCAGATGTTAAGGTATTCAGTAAGCACTAATGAGATAAAAAATCTCCATACTGGAACCTGACACTCATAAACCAATATCTGCATTTTGATTCACAACATCCATTGGAACACAGACTCTCTGCCATAAGAAGTCTTGGCTTTCTGGTGGGTAACATTGCCTTTGTCACAGAGGGGAAACAAAAACAACATAAAGATGTCAGGAAATCAATTCTTGCGCAGGGGTTGCCAGCCTTTTTAAAGTTGTAGGGAACTTATATTAAATTAAATTTTAAATCATTCTGGCTTAAACTTGTACATAAATTTACTCTTTATCAGACCAGATTATCCCAAAAGTTAGAAAATTTCAATAAAAAAAAATCCTGTCTTAAAATCTGTAGTTTTTTTTTCTTGTTATTTTATGCAGGCCAGTTTTTTTTGGTCATAGCATCTTGATTCCTATGTCGCAGCTTATATACACAACGGTTAAAATAAGAAATAAGATTAATTTATTTTACCATTGAGTTGCGTCCCAACGTTCATGGGGATGAACGTTCAGCAGGTGTAGAGCTAACAGAACTGGCAGCGTTGCAAGGCAAGGGCTCAAATATGTATGGCTGTAAGCCTTCTACACCAAACCAAGCTTCTGCTACCCTGGCATCCTCTTCCACAACAACTTTGTCCCCACTTTCCTCCTCTAAATAAAAAATGTATGATGAAGGAGACTCATCCACGACCTCTGATGCTACGTTCAGACCGGACGCTGCAAAAGCAGCAAAATCGCGTCTGCTGCTTCATTTTTGCTGCTTGTACCAGTGAGTTCTGACGCGCGGCTGAAGCAGCTTTGCTGCTCTGGCTGCGCGGTGCAAAAGTGGCTCTGACGCGCGTTGGGCGGAGCTTCACTATCCTTTCTCTGCCTTGCAGCTATATTTGCTGTGATCAGTGGGAATAAAGTAGTTTTAATATGTTTTTAAGTGAGAAAATACACCTGAAAACGTAATCAGTGCAGTCAGTTCATCCAGATTACAATCCTGTCTCCCAATGTTATTTCTGTCGGAGCCGCTCAGACCCCCACATACTGACGGTGCGCCGACAGAAGGAATCCCTTCAACAGTAGCCTCTGGACGGGTCGCCTCCTCGCGGTTTACCGCGGCGGCTGGTAGGTGTTTTTCATCTAAATAATCCGATCTGCAGGCACCAGAATAATAAAAGCCAACATATTCTGCCGGCAGATGTATATATTTTAAGTTAATTATGCGTTAATAAACTGTTTAAGAGGAGTAATCAGAGCGGTCTGTGTCATCAGCGCTGTGTCTCTCTCCCAGCCAGCTCCCAGATCAGCTTCACTGATTGGTTGACGCGGCGCGTCGAGCAGCAAAAATTCAATTTTTCCATCTCGAGCAGCAACGCGTTTGCGGCGCGTCTCGTGCGTCAGATGCCAAAACGCGCCCGACGGCTGCTTCAGCTGCTCAGACGCGCTGCGCCTGCTGCTCAGAATGCGCCGCGGGACCTTTTGCTGCGCCTTGACGCGCGTCAACCATTGACTTTGCATGTAAACTCGCTGCTTCTGTCGCGCCAGCTGCCCCTGGTGTGAACGCAGCATGACA